ATAGATATTAGATACTTTAATAGCTATATTTGAGAAGTCGAAATGTATTTTAAACAAGTGTTATTATATACTTATGTTAGAGTCTTAAATTTGAAATATTGCAAGAAATATATTTGAAATAAAATTCCCTTATTTAGTGTGAAAATACTACTAGAACTTTGCATGATTGCATATTAAATAAACGCATTATTGACATATTAAATAAATATTTCATACTAACTAATTAGCAATAATAATACCCAATTCCCGTGTATGTTATTAAATATAACTAATTTCGAAATGGTGTATTTATATCTACATATGTACATATGTATTTATTTTAAAATATTTTAAAATTAAATAAGTACTAATTCATTTAACATTGAAATATTTTCAAAGTTTATAAAGCTGCAAATTTGCCGAATTTTTTTACATAACTTCCAAATTCCGTCTTTTTAATTATAAAATCATAATTTGACTATTAAAATTTACCTTGCATAATATTGTATACATACTATATAAATTTTATTAAAATTTACCAGTTAATATAATTGAAACAAGAAAAATATAAATAAAAAATTTCCCCAATACTCATATGTACATATGTAGGTACTTATAGTATAAGAACATTATAGAAACATACATTTCATTTTCAATAAATAATATATGTATGTATGTAAAATAACTATTAAAATGTTCATTTATGTTTGAATTTGGTTGAAAATATTTTTATCCATTTTTCATTCTGCCATCTATCGTCTTCAGTCACTATGCTAACTAAATATAGGTTTTATAATATAAATATACATATAAATAAAATATATGTATAAATAATAAAATGTGGTATATTTCAGTGTTTCTCAATATTAGGTCATTTCCATCTAAAAGAGAAAAAAATTTGAAAAATTTTATATGATATATTATATTTGTTTATATGTATATATGGCAATATTTTACGCATATCAAAAGTTCAATTACTTTAAAATATAAATTTGGTTATTTGTGTCTTGCTATATGAATATGAGAATTATATATGAATACAAGAATAAACAAATAATTTATATGTAAACGAATATGTATGTATGTTGAAACATCGTTTTTTTTATTAGTCAACTTATTGATAAAGCTTTCTTTCTAAGAAATACCATGAACAAATTTGGTCGGCTTTCAGAATTGTGCTTATTTCTTTGCAAGATTTACTTACAAATTTTATGTTTTTATTGCACATACTATTACTAAACGAAGCAGCTTTAGCAGTTGAACCTCAATTTTACTTAACAAAAAAAAAAATTTTGCAAAATTGAAATTATGCTTTTTTCACAATTTTGTACATACTTCCATTATGCAAGGGTCTAACCCATACATTTAAGCCTCTCGAATCGATACTACATAGAACTAGCAAGAGTGATTTAATATAGTAAGAGTGATTTTCTGCGGTGAAGTGTCGAAAATTATATACAATATACATATATAAATATGACTTCCTTGAATTAAGCGAAGTTACTAATCCGAATTTTACTGCCGGCCTGGCCGGCCGTAAAATGCCCTAAAATCGTATTTTACTGCAAGTGGCCTTTCACACTGTTTTCATATGTGTGTGTAACATTATATGCAAAATACTGAACAGTTATTGCCATTGGGCTATTTTTCTGGGCTAACAATGAAAATCCTTCGACATTATATTGCTTTGATTTTGTTTTCACAATTAACAACCGGAATCGACCGTCGTTTCTGTTAACCGCTTTAATTCTGTTTTCATAATTAAAATCAGTGATAAAAAATTTTAAAAATTTTGAGAATCATAATATGCGCCATCAAAATGTTCTTAAATGTGTACACTTTTTTTTTTTTGTGTATGACTTGACTTCTATGTGCAGTATAGTGCGCATACTCACTATTTAATTTTTTCTTTTATTTGCTGCTTTTTTTTTTCTTCATTTCTATGCAATGTAATTTTGACGTTTTTATGCAATTTTTTCAGTGAATTAATATAAATGATGGCGAATACAGACAACTTTCGGTGAATTGACTTCGTTGTTTACATTCTGTTTTTTTTTTATTTGTATGTGAACACAACGAACCAACAAACAAAAAAAGCAAAAAAACAAAAAAAAAAAAATTAAATTTCTAATAAAAAATTAAAATTTATATAAAAAATTAAACAAAAAAAAAAAAACGAAAAGCAAAGAAAATAAAATTAAATAAATTAGAAATAGAAATATAGAAATAAAATTAAAAGGGAAAAAAAAGTAGAGACGAAAGTAGAAAATTTTACAAAAAAAAAAAAAGTAGAAAAAGGAATAAAATTTTTTTTTTTTAATTTAGAAATTGAAATTCTCCTTCTATATCTAAAGTTATACATACATATACATACATATATTAATATATATGTATACTTATATTGGTATATAAGTTAATTTGTACATAAATAAAATTTAAAAAAAAAAAAAACACGTATGTTTAAAAAAAATTAAAAAACCCAATTAATTACTCAAAAAAGAAAAATGAAATAAAAAAATAATTCGGAGTAAAACGCAAAGGGGCAAAAAAAAAAAAAAACAAAATTTGTTGAATTATTTTTATTTTAAAAAAATTGCAATCGTTCCTTTTTTTTTAACAAAATAGTAAAAATTTAATAGAAAAACCAACTATACAAATAAAAGGAAACAACAAATTAAGTTATATAATTTAATAATTAAGAAATAATATAAAAAAAAAAATTTGTATATAATATATTCAGAGTATATACATACGTACATACATATATGTAATTGTAACATATTATGTATATATATATATATATATATATATATGTGTACATGTATAATAAATGTAAAATGTACATACCCTTTTATACGTGTACATAATAATAAAAACATAATTGCGATGAAAACGCAGAACTGTGTATACATGTACATACATACATACATACATTTGTAACTATACTATATTATAAAAGAAATTTCAATTGTCAAATTTTTCTACATTCTATATACATACTTATGTACAATAGTTTAATTGAAAAAGAACAAAAAAAAAAAAAAAAAGGAAAAAAATAATGTAAGAATTGAAATTGCAAAAAAAAAAAATAAAGTAAAAATTTAAAATTAAATTGATAAATTAGAAAAATTCCAACAATATTTTCATATCATATATACAATATACATATTTATGTATATATAAAGCATAAAATTTTTATATTTTATGCTTAACAGACAAAATTTTTACAATCAATAAGTATATTACATACATATGTTTACATTATATGCCCAAATGATTAAATAGGAACAGGAACACAAATTTCAAATTCTACTTTAAATTATATTACATATATATATATATATATGTATGTACATATGTACAATACATAATAATGTATTAATTTTATAAATTTTATATTTTGAAATATAATTATAAAAAATCTGGTGCTTGTGATTATCTTCTATTTTTTTTAATGTATGTACATACCTATATACATACAAAAAAATATATTTTTAATTGTTATTTCCTCAATTTTTTTTTTTGTTCTTTAATTAAAAAAATACTTTTTTTTTTTTCGTACCTAAAATTATATGGAAAATATATACATATTTACATATATCAATATATAAATGAATGCATTATGTACATACATATAACAGTATATATTATATACAGTATTAATAGAAAATATTATAATATACACATAATTCTTATACTTATACATATATATGTATATACATAAAAATTACATATATATTTTAATATATTCTACGTTATGTATACGTTTATTAATAATTTCTTTTATTAAAATTAAAATTTTTAAAATTTAAATTGAAATAATTAAATAGAAATTTACATAAGTAGATAAATCTAAATAATAGCCATTTTAAATTAAATCATATATGTATATATAGATAACGTGTAAAAAATTAAATTAACAAAAAAAAACGGAAATTAAAGGTAAAGCACATAAGCACATTTTTCTTTACCAAAATTATAATTAAATATATTTGATAGTTTCTAGTATAAATAATTAAAAATTTTATTGAAATTAAAAAATTATTAATTAAAAAATACCATAATTTAAATTTGAAATTAAAAAAAAAAAGGCAAAATTTTTCTTTATAAAAATTTTTTTGCACTTATAATAAAAATAAAAAGAACGGTAAAAATTTTGACACTTCATTTGTCAAAAAGAAAAACGAAAAAATTTCATACAAGTAGTGTTGAAGAAGCAAAATATAAAAAGTGTAAAAAAAAATAGCAACAAAACTTCATTTTCGGTTTTTTTTTTTTCGTATTTTTTCTCTCTCGAAAATATTATTACATTTACAGAATGTTGTTTTTATTTTAATACGGCAACAGAGATGACGACGTCGGCGGTGAATATATGAAACACTAAAAAGAAAAACAATCATTATCATTATCATCATCGTCGTCGCTATAATTTCAACATGGGTGTGATGAGTATCGATTATAAAATAATTTTTTGGGTCAAATGATAAAAAAAGCAAGAAAAAAAAATAATAAAAATAATAAAATAAAATTATATACACAACATTCGTTGTTTCTTTTTTTTTTTGTGTACCGTTCAAAATTCATATGTAACCTTTTTTTTTTTCCTGTAAATTTTATAAAATTTTAAATATTTAGAAAAAAAATTTAATAATGTGTAACTTTTGTTTTTTTTTCTTTTTATTAAAACAGATAAATAGTATACCAAAAAAAGATTATTAAAGAAAACTAAAAATAAGAAAATTAAATATTTTTTTTCGGTTTTTTATAACATAATTAAATATTTATAACTAAAAAAATCTCTGAGGAAAAGAAAAATGTGAAAAATGAAAAAAATATGAAAAAAACTAAACTAAACTAGAAAAAAAATATATGAAAATATTGTACATACATACATACCTATTACATTAGCTTAATTTATTATAAATAATAAATTTAATTTTTACTAATTATAAGAAATTTAGAAATTTTTAAAACAATTTATTAAAAAAAAAAAAAGAACAAGAAATTTATATAAAATATAAAATCAAAGAAGAAAAAAATACACAAAGAAGAAACAATAAATTAAAAATTCAAGGGAAAATTAAAGGAAAAGAATAAAATATTGTAAAAAGACAAAAAAATAAAAAATAAATTAGTTCTCAAAAAAATAATTAAAAATTAATTAAAAAAAAACTTTTTAGGAAAATTATAAATAACAAAACAAAAGAAAATAATTTAAATTAAACTATTTATAAAATATTTTAATATTTAAAATAAATTATTTAAAAAAAATCAATATAAAAACAAATTAAAAAAAAAAAAGAAAATATAAAAAAGAACAAAAAATTCATTCATAATATTCTTTCATATATAATTCTGACACAAACGTCAAAAAAATTATTTTGACACAACACAAAGAAAGATTGAAAAAATAGAAGAAAAAAATCCTTTCGTTTTTTAGTTAATAAATAGGAAAAAAAATAAAATAAAAATAAGTGAATAAAATAACATTAAAATTAAAAAATAAATTAGACAAAACAAATTATAAAAAATAATATTAAATAATTAAAGAGCAAAAAAAAAAAAGACAGAAAAAAAAAACCAAACCAAACTTAATTTATACCAAAAGAACGAAAAAAAAAACAAGAACAGAGAAAGGAAAGAAAATAGTTAATTAAATAAAAATAATTAAAAAAAAAAAAACAATTAGAAAATTAAATTCATATGTAGAAAAAAAAAGGTAAATTTAAAAAATACATAATTATTTTGTGATTTAATTAAGTTTTGTGAATAAAATTTAAAATGTCAAAATGAATAAGGTATATAATGGAATGCTTTAGGCTGTCACCTACAGGGGCCACAGTAAAAACATTTATTCGTCTTTTTATACATGCACATTAATATATGCATGTTTTCATTGTACATGTATAATTTTTAAAAAGTATAGATACACATAAGTATACATACATATGTATAAACGAATGCATTTATATATATATATATATATATATATATATATATATGGTTATAATGCAGTAGATTTAGTATAATGCATAATATATTCAATTTGCAATGCAATACTATATTAACTTTTTTTTTTGTTACCCCCACCTTTCCTATTAGCAATGCAACATTTTTTAATATATTGTCGTATACGTTATACACATTTATATAAATACTACCAAATATATATAAGTATATGTATATACAATCTGTATAAATTATGAATATTAAATATGCGTGGTAATAAATTTAATGACGATGTACTTACTTACAATTATAAAAAAATATTACCTATAAAATTTATTTAATTATTGTAATAAATTTCCCCTTAACAAATGGATTATTTCCCTTAACAAATGTTTATTTGAAATTTATTTGCTTAATTCAATTCTTGACTATTAATTTAAATTTTTTAAATCAAAAAAAAAAAATATGTATTGGAATACAATAATAAGATTATGAAACTTTAAATAGTTTTTCCTAATTTACTTATTAATTATTTTTTTTAAGGCAATTTGCTTTTTTCTTTTCTTGCACATTAAAGAATGTGCTAATTTGAACAATAATAGTGGAAAAAAAAAAAATAATAAAATTGCCAAAATTGCCAAAACTTGTAATTGTTGTCCTATATACATATATACATATTATATATATTTGTATATATGTATATTTTATATGTGCACAAAAATAGGGAAAAAGATGCAGTTTTCTTAAACAAATTTGACCTAAATTTAATTTCATGTTTAGGAATACAAAAAAAAATACCGAAGAATGATAAAAGGCCAATTTTTTTTTTGTTATATTGCTATATTGTTATAATCATTTCCTATCTCTTTTCAACATCTAAATAATTTTGTCTCATTTTTCCCATTATGATTTCTTAGATTTTTTCTTTTGATTCTGCAGTGCCTTATCAATTTATTAATTAAATTTTAGTTATATGAAAATTAAAAAATCTTAGGCATTACAAACTGAAATTTTTAATATTTGTTATACCTACATATATAGGTATAAGTATTTGTTTTGTAAACTTAGAAATATATTCTAAAAATATGTATACAAATTCCGTGTAATTTATAATTTTCTTATTTTAGATATTCCAATTACGAGTATAGGTACCTTATAGGTGCAATTGGATTAAAAATTAAGAAATAATTAAAGAGCTATTTTTTTAATTTTTGTTTAAACATAAAATTTATCATGTATAATTTAAAAGGGAGAGTTATTTATAAACATAAAATAAATGTTAATAATAATAGTTCGCAATTTTTTATAAATCTCTACAAATTTTGAATTTCTTTTGAAGAAAAGGAGCCATAGACTCTTCATAACTAGAGAGTCATTTTATAAAAATGACATCCAAAAGATACAATTATTCGCAGAGAATTCGAAAGTGTTATAAATATAATTTTTAATTAGTTTTTGTAATATTTAGAGAATTTTTTTTTCCAAAATAATAAAAAATTTTGTCTGCAGGAACTTTTTTGATTGAAAAACAGATCTTTATCGTGGTTCCACCAATATTGATAATTTTCACAGTCTTATCATTTTTTTTATTTTGTTTAATTTTTTAAGGTTTTTGTATTTGCTCGCATTCTTTACGAAAATCATTTTTGCACAACCCTATAAATAACCTTAAATATATTTTTTTTAATTTCTTTAACACTAAAACAAGTACTTCAATATTTTATTTTATTTTCGTATTAAGTAATAAAAAAAATTTTCACCTTTATCGAAAAAAATCTATTCTGTTGTTAACATAAAAAATAAGCATAAATAATTTAAGTATATTTATATTTTATAGTTTTTTAAATAAATTTTATGGTACCGTGATCATTATTGCTTTTTAACAATATAACAATTCAGAAAAGCATAAAACATTTGATAGAAAATGTTGCCGGTTTCACAATATATTAATTGTGTTTATACAAAAAATCTACAAATGTAAAAATTTTAAAAATAATTAATTAAATCCAAAGCATAGTTATAAGTTGATCAATTTACTGGGCTTCTTGAATAAGATTTGTTTATTGCAGATAAAATGCCTAAAATATAAAATTATGATATTATCATTGCTGTGAAGTAATTTGGTTTTCGCCCAAAAGTACAATATTAGTTACCAAGTTTCAAGACTGATGAAAATAATAAAAAATAGTCTGGAACATATAGGGAATTAAGTTGGTATGGTTTTAATCGATGCTGAAGCTACTTTTGACTATATTTGAGCTCGTTCATAAAGTTAGAGCTTTAAACTTTCCATTTTATATTGCAAAGTTTTTACGTTAATATACGAATTTACGAATTCAAAATTGGAAATGCTGAATATAATTGCTGATGCGCGATAGTGCTCTTTACTGTACAACATCTACATTTCTGATTGATTTTGCAATGTTGATTGACTGTGAAATACAATTACATGCTGATGATACCGTTGTCTAGTTTAAGAGAACCTATATTATCATTAGCAGTCATTTCGAATATACATTTGACGTTTATTATATAGCTTATATTATAAGTGAAAAATTAACCACATAAAAGCACAGGCGATCTCTTTTACCAGAAATAGAAAAATTTATATAATAAAATTACAAATATAGAGTGTTGTGATTCAAAAAGGTATTTGGGCTTTCATTTGGACCGGAAATTGGTTTTTAAGGCGCACATTGATAAGACTGTTGAAAAATGCAACGCCTGGCATAACGCTATTATACCGGTCGACTAAATCTGCATATTAAACTTCTAATTTATCAAGGGTTTTAAAGCAATATGTTGTTAGACTGCGAGAGGTAGTTGAAGCTAATTACAAATTTCAAATATTTTCTATTCAGAATATTTCAAGAATGCTAGTTTAAAAGCACATAAAAAGAAATTATTTCGCATACATACTTAAGTACATACCACATTTTCATTATATTTTTTTGGCAAATTTCCAAAAAAAAAAACAAAAAATTGGGAAAATGTGCCTATTAGTATCACTATACTAGTTCTGTCAATTTGTTTACAAAATTTCTACATCGTACAAGATAAAAAATTGAATTGTACTCAAATAGATTTTAATGTAACTGTTAATTCTTTGCAACAAAATATTATTCCAGATCTTGTCTCCCCCTTAAATTATAAGGCTTTTTAAAAGTTATGAAAATACAACTATTTTGATATGCTATTCTGTCTTAACCTAAGAGTATTCTCTGAATTCTGCTTAAGGAGAAAGTTGACCATTTATTTCTTCTACCATAAAAAACTATAATATCTTCGGCGATAAATTGACATTTAGGCCTAATTATAGTACAATAATATTAAAAATAAAACCAATTCAATGTTTCGATTTTTAAAAAAGATAGAGTAAAGAATTCAATGAATCAAATACAATTTGCAGACCAGAACATAGTTGAAATCTTTGCATATGTCTTTGATTAGACTTAGACCCAATTTTGAAAACGATTTCCAAGTTTGATTATCCTCCACTATTAAATACAAGTATAAGAACGAACTTATATATTTTATTTGATAAATAGCGGAAAACTTATTATTTATTATACAGATTTTCATTTCATGTTTTTAAAATGGTATAAGCTCCCCCCCATCTTTATTTAATTTTATATCTTTCAATAATAAGCTTAAACTTGAACTCCTCTAAGTTCAGTTGCTTGGAATCTACGTAAAATAAACGAATATTATCCAATCAGTCTAAGATCAGAAAGCACATTTAACACTATTTTTTATCGAACGAAAGATTATTGATTTTTCTTTAAGTAATTATGAAATAGCTTTTGTTTTCCATAACTTGCCATACTTTCGTGTTACGTACATATACAGTAGCTTAGTCTTTAAATTCAGTATTTTTTTTTTTATTTAAGTATAAGTTTTAGTTTTAAGTTCCTATTTATTTTATTTGAATCAAACATAAATAAATATGGAAATCATAGTAGCCATAATAGGATTTATTTTTTTTTTTCATATAAATTTAACCGTGAAAATATGTAATTAAATTTATTTGTACATGGACATTTAATAACATACATACGTATAATATTAAATACACGTATAACATTATGCACATAATATGCAGAAATTCGTGACATATGAGCGTTATTATTTATTTTTTTATTTTTTTTTATTTTTAATACACGCGTATTTATTTATTTTGTGGTTTTTTTAAATTTTGTATGGGAAGATTTAATATACAAAATATATTTTATAATTATTTAAGTGTTTCACTTTTAAATTAGTTTCAAGACTAATTGTAAATTGTTGAAAGAAACTGGGATTATTTTTTATTAAAGAACATTTTGAATACGCATTTTCTCAACATTTGTTCGAATTGATAAATTAATCGTTTCCATTCACTCACTTAATTTTAAAATAAATTTAAAGATAATACGATAAGCGGCTATAGATTTTAAGTGATCCAGTCGATGGAATTTATTTCAATACATATTTCGACCAGGACATTTAAATATATAGACATTTAAATATTCAAAATTGTTTTCAAATCTTAATCTATTAGAGCAATTAATCTAGAATCATTAAATGCTTTAATTCCGACCACCAATTGACAAGTTCAAAAATATGAAATTAACTGTTTATCGATTATTCAATAATTTTAGTAAATTGAAAATTTTGTTCCGGTTTGAACTGACAAAAATCACTTTTACTAAATATTTGTAATTTGTTAATATTAAGTTTTATTTTTAAATAAAATTTATTGATAAATTATAAAATATTTACAAATTGTTCAATTTCACTAGTTCAATTACGACTAGAATTTCATCATTTAATATAGACAATATAAAAATAAAAGATACTAACAGGTACAACTGAATAGGTGAAAATTTTAGATTTTTTTTAAAAGTCTGGTAATGCCTGTAAGGATAATATTATATATACACCTTTCACATACATACGTATACATACATTTTTGTACATGCATATACATTTATAATAAATTTTATGCTGCCCGCACAGAATCTAGTACTATAAGTACTAATAATTATTACTGAAATATTGTACATATACCTACATACATATAAATATAATATATAGAAATAAGAAATAAATTTTTGTATAGGTACTAAATTAAATTTTCAAAATATAGTTATTATTATTAGAGTTATTTACAATATTATCAATGCATTTTCCGATTCATTTCATAATAAAAAAACAAAAAAAAAAACGAAAATAAAATCCTTAAAAAAAATTTTTTTTTTATTATTTTACGATTTTATTCGATTTTATTCTTTTAAAAATTTTGAACTGTACACATTTTTTATACTAAGTACCTACATACGTACATACCTTAATTTTTATTTTTTTTTTTTAAATGAAACGAAAAGAAAAATCAACAGAAATAAAACCTATATAGAAAAATATATATGTATGCATGTATGTAAGTAAAACGCGAGTACATAAGGAAAGGAATTGAAAAATTGTTCAAAAAAAAAAAAAATTTTTTTTTTTTTTTTTTTCATTTTCTTTACTATATATTTTTTCTTCTACATATGCCTATATATATATATATAACTGCTTGTACATACATATAAATGTATGTATGTACATTAAAATGTATTGAAATATAGGGAAAATGATGTATAATTGTATTGATTTTTTCTTTTTAACACGTGACAAATTTTCCAAGTAAAAAGATAGTATAAATTTTTCCCTTCATGCCTTCTTTGTGTATGAAAAATAAAATTATATTTTAATATATACATACATACTTGTACATATGTATGTATAACAAAAATGATAATGGAATAAATTTCAAATATTACTATTTTTATTTTTATGACTTGTTAATTTAATTATAAAAATACATACTTACATACATACATGCATAACTATTTATCGTATGTTTATAATAAGTACATACAAAAATTTATTTTAAAAACGTCAGAAAATACAAAATAAAAAAAATGAATTTTTTATTTTTTAAATTATAAAATTTGTATTAGTATGTACATATATGTACATACATATGTATATGAATCTATATATATAACTATAATAATATCGAACCAAATTAATATTAGTTAAAATACGTTGGCTTTTATATAACCAATATTTTTATATTATTTTTTGAATAAAACGTGGAATATTCAGTGATTAAATTAATTTAAATTATTTTGTTATTAATTTATATTCAGAAGTATATGCAATTTTTAATAATATTGCAAACTTATAATGAAAAATTAAATATGCTTTAAAATTACAAATTCATACCATTATAGGGTATTATGTTGCATATTCAAACATATTATATTTACAAAATATACATACTTATGCGTGTATGAGCACATTTATGTTTATAATTCAGTAATGAAAAAAAAAATGAAAATTTATTTAGATCAATGGAGAATCATTGATAAAATCAATAATTATTGTAAATGTAAATTATTAAGGTGTTTCTGTATATTTAATATTAAATATTTTCTTCTAAGTAGTTCTTTATTTTTTTATGCGATAGTAACATAACATAAATAATTACTTACATACATAACGTATATGAACATTAACGCATGTTAAAAGCATGTAATGTAAACACCTAAATATATTTTGAAAAATTAAAATTTTATTTATATATTTAGAAAATTTTTAAAATTAATATATGATTGTTATTCTAATATGATTCAATATATTGATATACATAATATGTATGTCTTACTAATATGATTATATCTATGTAGACTGTAGAGAATATAATTGATATTTTAATTATTACATTAATCTGTGATCTTAATTTCGCAGATTTTTAATAACTCAGTCCAATCGAAAATTCAATCTGATTATACGAGTTTAAAATACGTAACGAAAGAAATTTTTGTAAAAGCAATACTGCAAAACAATATTTCTAAAATGTAATACTGCAAAAATATATTATAAAATCATAATATTCTATAAAATTAAAACAGTTTGTATGATGCAACTGTACTACTCATATTGATTTCGTTATACTAAGAAATACAGCATTGTTTATTAACAAATTATGTATACAAAAATTTTTTTTTTTGGGATTTCAAATGTTGGTGATAGTAAGGGCGGATTTACCTTTATGCTTTCTCGAAATTCAAATTATGTCCACTTTTTATAAAAAAATAAACTCATTTTTTCACCATTAAAGGACGACGATTTTGTTTGGCAATCCGATAGCCAGATTTTGTCCGTCTAAATAATAATTGGTTTGTTCTTTCGTGCAATCCTAGTTTCTAAGGTCTAATTATGCTTTGTCTAAGGAAATCCTCTGATAATATCAATTTAAATGAAATTTTCGTGTTCATGTAAAAATATATTTTTGTAATTTTAAACCAATCACATATTTTTTTCATAATCACATACTGAAATTAAATATAAAAGTGTGTAATTGTTTTTACTTGTGTACAATATGCATTCCCATTAAAGAAGACAAAATTAAATTTTTTTAATAAACAGTAAATAAATACAAAAGAGGGCTAACAATGATTAATTGTATATGTAGATTGTTTTGTCAATGACAGATAATACAAAACATACATACATTAAAATTTCCAATTAAGCTGGTTTTATGGTTCTATGCAGTAGAGTTATATTTGCTCTAATAAAATTATGAAAAAAATTTGTTCGATAATATAAAAATCGTGAAGAAATATTTAGTAAATATAGCTCTTAAATATTTTCTATATGATAGAAGAAAATATATAACTCAATAATTCCTTTAATTTTAATAACTTTGATAAATTATAATAAAATATTTATTTTATTTAAGGTTTATGCATGATAATAGACATCAAAGAGGAAGAAACGTGCAAGCTCAAGGAATTTACAATAACTCGTTTTTTATGCACGCTGCTACATCATTTGTCGGAAATTTGGTTCAAATTCAAACTTTATCTGGTAGTATTTATGAGGGCATTTTTAAAACATTTTCTCCTAAATTTGAGGTAAGTTTTGGAAAATTTATGTTTATATATAAAAAATTAGGTGTTAGAGCTTATTTAAGTATTTAAAATTTTGTAAAAAAAAATGTTTTGTTTTTAGGTTGCATTAGAATTGGCTCATTGTATTAAAAATAGTAAAAATTTATCAGATGATACAAAAAATTTGCCTAATTATATGATATTCCCGCCGGATCATATCGTAAATATTTCAGCAAAAGAAGTTGATATTGATTATGCAACAGGGGATACATTTCAAACTGATAGCGCAATATCAGCAAGGTGTAACGGATCAAGACAAGAAGAGAAAGAATTAGAACCCTGGGAACCATACGGTGGTCCATTTAATGGTGATATAGATTTGGAATTAGATGGAAACGCAAATGGCTGGGATGCAAATGAAATGTTTAATAAAAATGCTGAAATGTTCAATGTTAAAACAACATTTGATGATTCATTGTCAGATTATACAGTTCAAATAGAAGTAAAAGATTCACAAGAATATAAAGAAGCTGAAGCAAAAGCAGAAAAATTAGCTCAAGAAATTGAAAATGATCCAGGATGTAGAGAAAGATTAGATTTAGAAAACGGTGACGAAGAATCATTATTTGCTTCAGTTGAGAGAACCTCTAATAATTTAAATAATACTGAACAAGCTACACAAGCAATTGAAAAAAATATTCAACAAATAGCTACACCTCCTCCAATAATATCAAATACGCCAACCACTAATATTCAACAAAACAATATACAACAACAGCAACAACAACAACAACAACAACAGCAACAACAACAACAACAACAACAACAGCAGCAGCAACAACAACAACAGCAACAACAACAACAACAGCAACAACAACAGCAACAGCAGCAGCAACAACAACAACACCATCAACAACAGCAATCGACTCATCAAGTCCAACAACCTCAACACAGTTATCAAATACAGCAGCAACAGCAGCAACACCAACAACAGTTACAACAGCAACAGCAGCAACAACAACAAATACAGTCTCAGCATCAAATTCATAGCCAACAACAAACACAACAGCATCAACAGCAGTTATCTCAGCAAATACAATCCCAACAACCGGTATCGAATCAACAACAACAAAATATTAATATGTCGAAAAATTCAAACACAATGGATAAGTACGTATCACCCCCAAAACGTAAAAATTTACAAGCTCCTACAAAATTAACACGTAGTGGTAATTCATCAAATAATAATAATGGACCGATGTCGCAACATATTTCGCATAGTAATACAAAAAATAATAATTTCCAATCCATGCCTATGCAAAATCCAAATTCCTATGCTTTAAATCAGGGATATGCTCATGTGCATGGAGGGTATGTTTTGCTTTTTTAAATTATTTACTTATATCTTAAAGAAACAACATTTTGATTTGTAGCTTGAGAAATAAATCACATTTTCAAAATGCATTTACACGTTATTATAATATTAACTGAATTTCAAAATTTTTAATAATTTTAATTATTTTTAAAAATATTTGTAGATCGCAGTTTAGGCATTCTTCAAATGTAACTCAGTCAAAAATAAATGGTGACGGTAGCTCAAGCAACAGTAATAATAAACCACTTCCACAAAGAACTATTAGGCAATATCCATCTCATACTAGCAATCATAGCTATATTGATCAACAAAGTGGGCCGGTAAGAAAACCTTAAAATATTTGGCCTTGTTATTGAAAGCGTAAGCTGGGATAAAATACAGAGTATCTAGATTCGATTTTATTAAGGCATTTAAATCGATACAAATTCGATTTTGTATCTTATTTTTTTATACATCATTTTTAATGAAGTTAAAATCACAAGGTGACGATATGGTATTATGAAATTAGTGATAAAAATATTCTTTTGCAAAAAATCCTTTGAATTTGACGTTCTTTTAATAAAAATCTTCAATTCATCTCTTTATATTATACCTCTGTAATAAAGTACATTCCAATTTTGAAGTATGTTTGAAAATGGCAAAAATGTTAAAACTATTTCTTTAATGTAAATAAAATGTTATAAAATTAAAATGTAATATACCCAAATATTACATTCGCGATCTTCTGGTTTTCTTCAATAAGGTCAATAATTAAATGTAATTTTGATTGATTACCATTGATATTTTTCATTTTTATATTATAAAACCATGTTTTCAATATTTTTCAGAATTCGGTTAGTAAACATTCTGTTCACAATCAACATCACGTATCACATCAGCAAGTATCGAATAATATTCAAGAACAAAATGTTCAAAATTCGCATTTACCTCATACAACTCATCATAATTCTATTCAAAGTGGTAATATAAATTCTCAAATTCAGCAAAATCAACCGCCACCTAGACAACAAAGAGGTAGAGAAGATCAAATACAAGAATTGAGGAAGTTTCAACAAGAATTCCAATTGGTTAATTCTAATCAGCAGCAATCTCATTCACATCAACCTCAGATAAATCATGTCAAAACACCAAGTGTGTCTCCACATCAGCCACAACCACAACCATCAACATCTCCCCCGCAACAGCAACAGCAACAGCAATTAAGTGGAATTCCACAACAACATAGTTTACCGAATGTTCATCATCATCAAAATACACCCCCACAGCATCATTCGCAACAGATTCAACAACAACAACAAGATAATATGCAATCTATTCAACAACAAAAAGTTCAGAATCATTTAAATCAGCAATCTCAGCAACAGTCGGATCAGCATTCATATCCAAGTACACAAGTGCCCCAACATCAACAACAACCACAACCGCAATCGGTTCCAAGTAATATTATGATGACTAGTAATAATACGCCTGTAGTATCAAATGTTTCTCAACAAATTTCACAAAATATGGGTGGAATCAATTCAAATCATAATTCGACTAATGATACATCTTCGATGGGTGAAAAAATGCCACCCCCAACAGGAGTGGTTAAGAAAACACACGTTTTGAATCCGGCAGCGAAACCGTTTACGCCACGAGGTCCAAGTACACCAAATCCTTCGAGGCCTCATACGCCTCAGACTCCCGGTCCGGCTATGACACCAGGAGTATACGCGACAGGGCATGTTGCTACTGGACCAGTATATGTTATGCAACCGCAAACATCTTTTCAGCCAGGACCACATCCACATGCCGGCACTCAAAATCGTTTGAGAAGGGGTATGGCATTTCTTCAAATTATTGTTTATATGATTGTACTAATTTATTTTATAATAAACTGTTTTGCTTTACAGCTCCAATCACAACTGCTCAAATGCAAGTATCTGCAGCCGCAGCTACTGGCCAACCTTTACTGACAACAGGGCCGACGTTACAACCATTTGTTCATTACCAACAATCGCCACATCCGCCACCTTTTCAATCTCCTAATTATCCACCCATGGTAAATTTTATTTTTTTTTTTTTTTTGTAATGGGAAGTGTAACTCAATATTTTATACTTTAGATGAGAATGCATTATGAACAGCCACAACAACTGCAGTTTTTAACTCAGACACCACCATCAACAACACCTTCGCCAGGTCAACCACATCAACCTTTCCATTCAGCTTCTCAACCATCCCCTGCTGGCGGGGGACCACCAGCGTTTGGACCGCCGACACAACCTCAATTTCAAGTTGTATGTCCTATGCTCCCTCATCCGTCGCTTGTTCCGAATTATTATCAAGGTGTGCAAAGTCAAAACCCACACCATACTCAACCATTTCAAGTTATAATGCAACAACAGCATGCGCCCCAATAAAATTGAAAGGAATTCAATATAAAAAGTACGAAGATTTGCTTAAAAAATTATTATTCTTAATTAAAAAAAGGTTATTTCTGATATGTTAGAACGGGAAAAATATTTGAAACATGCTTGAGTGTCTAGTAAAACAAAAAAAAAGTTCTAAAAATTATTAAAAACAAAAAAAAAAATAAACAAAATAAAAAAACAAGAAATCTTTAAAAAAGACACATCAAAAATAAAAAAAGCCAATCTAAAAAAAATTCAATTTTTCATTTAACAGCTTTATCAGTTGGCAAAACTTTTTATAGTGCAGCAATAATCAGGGTGCAGTAACAATTCTACATACTGTAACTTCCAAAATGCAGAATAAAAGTATATCTACAATGTAGTTGTACTGCAGTGAAGCTTGTTTTACTAATTTTGGAAGTCACGGATAATTTTATCTTTTAACAGACAATGCAAAAAGCGACTATACAAAAAATGAATGTTTTAGATGGAAATTAGGCAATGGTTACGATACCCAAACGTTCCGAAATTACGAATCGCTCACTTTTTACTGTCTTGATTTTCCATTTCTTCTTAAATTATTTTTCATATGCATTGATTTTAAATATTCTTTTTATTTTAAAATATTTATCATTATCAAAGCAGATGATAAACTTGGTTTTTAACCTGTACCCTAAAATTTTTGGCGTTTGCATGGTATATTAAAGCAAACGCAAAATTTTTGTTGTATAAACTATGCAAAGATATGTGAACAAATTGCAAATATTACAGATAAATTACAGACTTTCAGGTCTTTAATATTATAAAGTTTATTTTAATGAAAACGTATAACTACTTTGAGAGTACTTAAAATCCCTCTTACAATTCTATATTTTTTCTTTTTACTTAAACTTAATTTTTTGAAGAAAAAATCGGTTATTTAAAATTTGATTGCCCATTTTCAATTTCCAATTCGAATGTTTTTATTTTTTAGAGCTTATTCTAACAAAAAATTAATGAAAACGTATACTCAAAATATATTTTACCCAAAATAGTTTATTAAATTTTCACCTAATTCCAATTAAAAATACAATATTAAACAATAATGATGCTAATTATACATAATATGATGGTGGAACTGTTAAGTCACTTAAGAAACATAATTGGTCTTCCGAAAATTTTTCCTTATTACTAGCCCAATCAGAATCATTGCAGTGTGTTCTTTTAAAATCGCTTATAACTTTACGAATTGTTGACTTGAAAACAAAAAAAATTAATTAAGCATTTTTTTTTTTAAACTCAAAATAAAATTACTGGGATTGGCTGTGCATCGTTTATATTCTTTGACAACAAATCAAAAATATTTGGTATAAAGTCTGGGATCGTGTATGGAAAAGCTGATATAAAAGCACATAAACCTAAAACACCAGAATGTCGTACTTTGAGAGATGAATTTTCTTGTAATCCATTTACTCTTGAAGAACTAAAAAATTTTAACAATAAAAATATTTACGTTAAATATTTAATTACTTTACTAACTTATTTTCCGGTTTTGTTGCTTTAAACCGACATTTTTTGCTAAAACGTTTTATTAATTCGTCTACGTTAGTCAAAAATGAACAATGTAATAAACCGCCAAGCACTTCAGCAGCTTTTTCTCGTACTGATATATGATTATCCTCTAGCAATGTAAGGACAATATGTTCTATTTTTTGAATAACTTTGTCATTATTTAAAGCTATCATTAAATTATGAAAAACTAGGACTTGTAAAGCATCAATTACGGCTAATCTAGCATTCCAAGAATTCGATAATGAAACCTCATTCATTTTATTTAAAGCTGATTCTATAATTTCAGGTTGAGTTATTGCCTGACTGATCATTCCTAGAAAAACTGTAGAAACTTCAGCTAATTCTATATCATTTTCGTAACTCTCGTAACGACATGCAACTGGTAAAAGGTCGAAGTATGATAATTTATTACTATTTATATTTCGTGATATATTCCCTGTTATCCAGGTGCACACAGTTTTGTATAAGCAAATTTCGGCCTTAAATTCATCAGATTCATTTGGTTGAAAAGTTGAATCTAAATTTTATAAAGAAAACATAAATATCTTGAATTTTTTGTTCTTGTAAATATTATGAGCTGAATTTGAAAATGTAATGAGCAAACCATTTAATAATTTTAGATCCTTCAAAATGCTATCTATCATATCTTTTACTAAAGGGCATATTGGTGGATTTCCATTTGGAAATTGAATATCCGATTCAAAAATATTAATTAACAGAGATCCCAGCCGATTTCTAACATTTTGGAAGGGATGTTTCAAATATGGTTTTAAACACTCTAAAAAATAAAAATAAGATGAAAATCAAAATTTCACAATAACATTTAGTTTCTTTTTTTCGTTCACATATACCCAATAATCGATGACTATATGATGACATACGCCATACATGTTGGTTAAATGGTCCTTGTAAAATAAATATTCGAGAGCAATCTAAGAAACTAGCTTTTTCTCTTAAAGGCTCTTTTATTAAAGCTTCGTAAAGCCAATATTGTTGTCTTGGATCCATATTTTCACAACTAGTAGCAAAACACGTTCCCCAGAAATTATCTGTTTCAACTGTAATATGCTCAAAAATTAAGTCGATCAAAGGTACTATGTATGTTTTATAAATATGTTCCGTTTTGCCAAAAGGCCAATGTTTCATCCCCCTTATTACACCACATATGATTTCCGCCGCACAACGATGATTACTTGGCTGCTTATTCTCTTTTATTAATTTAACAATGTTTTGATGGAAACTTTCGTAAAATGTGTCACCAAACATTCTAAAAATACTCTGCGAAAAAAAAAATAAAATTAACTTTGCAAGATTATTTGTTTCTGTTTCGGTTATTTTACCTTAATCAATAAGAATCGTGACCTTTTGAATTTCTCCTTTTCTTTATTTTCTTCTAACGCCATAAATGTAACAAATTTTTCTATATTTTCATCTTTTTTTAAAAAATTATACAAAGCTTGCTCTATTTCATTCATTTCTTCAAAATTACGATCTAAAGAAGGTTGCTCTTTATACTGCGCATAAACCTTAAAATCGCTAGACCAACCAAAATAGCCATTATTTTTATAAACAAATTTTGTGTTATTCCACTTTTCTTCAGAATCTGGCAAATTATTTACATCATATTGCAACCACATATTATCATCTCGTAAACCGAATGAAAATTTTTTATCAACTAAATTAATTTTTGTATTTAATTGCTGCGAAACAGGATCAAAGTCAATTTTAATATGCTTTCGTTTTTGCTGACTCAATATAGCATTTAAAAGTCTGATACTTAGCTTACGTTCTTTTATTGATTCATTTATTAAATTTTGTATAAAGTACATCGCTACTTTAGGGGGATAATTCACACGCGGATGTGCCAAAGAAAAAATCATTGAGGAACCTAAATAATGATATCTCCAGTGCAGTGAGTTATTTTCTAATATATTAGTTATTTCATTCAAAATGTTATAGTATCTATCTGTGTTTATTTTATTCCTTTTGTTTAGTAGCTGTAAACCTTGTTCAACATCAACGCCAGGTACGTCAGGATATAATTTTAGTATAAAATTTATAAAACTATCTGGAATATCTTGAGAAACAGTGATGGTTACGAATTCTTCATTGATATTTCTTTTTGTGTATTCAATTAAGCGTATAATTGAAGGTTTTTCAGAAGGTATTGATTTCAAAATATTTAACCAAAATTTTTCTACAACCAACCAATCACGTTGTACTAAAACTTTCAATCGAATATGACTATTAGCAGTTAATGTATGCAATATTCCTTTAAAGGCTTCATGGTGTTCATTTGGATCTAATTTTAAATATTCAATTATTTCATCCGATATATGACAAAATGAAAGTGGATATATCGAAAACATAAAAGCTAATTTAGATTGGGCTAATTGCCTTACAGCGCTGTAGTGTGATGTTGAAAGTTTCAAAAGTAATAACATAATTTTCTTGTGCGTTTGAGAAAAATCAGGAGAATCCATTTCTATTCTACCCGTTTGCTGGGTTAAAACTCTATTAGCTACGACAAATTTAATATCTCGTTTGAATTTTGACAACTTTTCTTCCTGAAAATCTCTCAAATCTCTAAATGTCTTTAACTCCGCCTCAAAAGACCCACGATATCCTTTTCGATGAATACGATGTAAAATCATAATAATTGCTTTTAACGATTGTATATCATCGCTACTGTCTTTTAAAATTTTTTCCAACAACTTTTCTATGCTATTTAAAACATGTAAACGAATGTTTGAACCGTCTGGCATGTATATTGAATATTCTTTGGGTATAGTTTTGATATGAATATTTGTTTCATCGACAACTGTGTCATACAAACTTAATAGTGGTTCATCCCACATCGGAATAAAGTTACATATGTTAAAGAACGAAAGAACATACGAACAATTATTAACAATATCTTCACGACAAAGTGCACTATTTTCTTCATAAAAATTCTTAAATTTAGATAAAATGCCTGGTAGGTAACGATGAATGATTTTTTCGCATGCGTCTCTTTGCTCTTTTCCAGGAACGAAAAATTCTATAGTGTCATTAGGATTCATTTTTGCTCCCCAGTATCTGATTGGAATGCTGTTACATTTTTCATCATAACTTTTTACGTTAAATGTTTGAATTCTTGACAAATTTGTTAAGGTACACGCGATCATATTGCTGGTAATTTTTGCTGTTTGCAAACATTTAAATTCTATAACTTTGTCTAATACTGACAAAAATGTATCCAAATGAATTAAAACTTGGCGAGTGTCGCTTTTGAACAAATAATAAAAAATTGTATAATAGTACAAAAATTCGTTTGGATGTTTCTCATAAGTGTCGGCATTAGGATGTTCTTCAAAATATGAATTTAAACATTCTCCAAGAAAAGAAACTAGCATTTTGAACACATGATGGCCAGCGCTAAGTCCAACACAATAAACTAAATTACCCAAAAGGGGAGCTGCACTTGATGATTCCAGAATATTAAATTGTACGAAATCGGTTACTTTTCTAGCAGCGGATAATAAGATTTCCTAAATAATAATAAATTGTTTATGTATGGTTAAATTAAAAAATCTATTATAAAAAATTACATCGGAGCATTGCCCTAAAATGGCTTGCAAACCACTAGCTATTGAGTTTTCAATAATTAAATCATTTCTTGATTTTTCAATGTTATTTCCATGCTCCATCCTAATATTCTCTCTTGTTGTAAACTTAATCATTACAAATAAACGATCTATGTATTGCAAAACAAAATTTTCAAATTCTGAAGTTTGTTCGCATATAATTGCTTCAGACTCAGTTAATTCCTCATTATAATTAGCAGTTTTTGAGCAGTCTACAATAGGTATTTGAAATAAGAAGGCACCATAAAAATTCATTGTAGCGAAAGCTTTTCGTAAGTCATTTGTGTCAATTCCTGGCAGTGCGGCGAATAAAATAGGTATCACATCAGTTCTTGCATCAGTATATCCATTTTGTCCGCTTATTAGAGACTTACATACTCCTAATAAACATTGATATGAAGCCGTTAAACGATGTGGCTCCGTGAGTAAATCTAAATTACTATAAACTCTTTTTATTACTTCTGGAATAATCAAGTTCGGCCTTAAATTTGCTAAATGCTTGAATATTTTATATACACTATTTGGGTCAATTTTTGAATACATAGCTTGAAATGCTGCAGATTTTAAGCTTTCAACGAATGACGTTATACAATTTTCGGTTAATTTATGGCTCTCTAAAATTAATAAAATCAGAAACATATATTTTTAAATTAAGCAGCTATTTATTTTCCTTACCAGGAATATCGTCTTTCCAATATATTTTTCTATATCTTTCAATTTCCAACCTTCGAATAAATTTTTCAGGTATTGTAACTAGAAGATTTCCTAGAGTTTTAATCCATTTTCCAGAATTAGCCGGATGTAAATAAGACTCAATGGCTTTTATAAAGAGTGTTAAGTGCTTTTGACCATCCTGTTCAAGCCCTAAGGTCGATACGATCCATTCTAAAAAACACAAAAATTGTGTAATGTTTAATTATTGAAGATTAAAAAAATTTATAAAATGATGTTAACCACAATTTAAAAACAATAACTATGTTCCTACATATATATACTGCTTATACCTTAGGTATTAGGCATATGTATTCGTATTTCTACTTAGAAAGTGGAAATGTCCAACTATTTCATTGGAGTGTCCTTAAGTAATGTGCATAACAAAACACATAAACGAATTTGTTTTTTGCGCGTTATTGCTTCATTCTTTCCTTCATTTACGGAATTTATAACTCGAGCGTTTGCGGAAAGAAATTAATTCCTTTATTTTATAAAAAGAATTTAAATTTTTTGAAAAAGCTGATGAATGTATTCAAATATTTTTTTTGGTACTTTCAATAGATACTTCTAATTAATTAGGTTCATTTCAATTCAATTTGTATATAAATTCTTACTTGCTACACTGGCCGGACTCAAATTTTGATTCCTATTTACTTTGACTTTTTTGTATGCTACAGGTAAATTCAATGATCGTAAAATTCTTGTAAACATGACCGGTAAATGTTCATTCCAGTCAATTTTTCCTATATTTTCAAAAGCTAAATTTCCCATTATCATCATCATGTCCTTTAATAGAAATATTTTTGTTATTAAATTTGTAATTCAATTAAATATAAATATAATATAATAAAATTTATAATGCATGTAATTGTCGTTTTTGATTTTCATCGTTATAGCCAGATTATTAAAGGGAAATGCAAACGATAAAGCTATTTAAAATAGTTTTGTTTTTCATTTTGAAATTACTTCATTCCATGGAGGATTATGATACACATTCCAAAGATTCATGAAATCATCAAACCAAAGCTCATATCCTCTGTGAAAATTTAGAAATAAATTGAAGATTTCAAATGTTTGACATTGTCCTCCAACATCCAAAGGTTGAAGTTTTGGTAAAACCAAATCCAAAATTTCTTTGGTTGATTGCGGTGAAAAGTATCTAAATTTTTGCCATTTAAAATTTATTTTTTTTCACATAAACATTGTAATGCAAAACCAAAAAAATATACTCACGCCGAACATAACTGGATTACACTCGATAGATTAATTTGCATTGATCTAAAATTTGAAGTAAAATTTTAATTGTACAAGAATTCTACAAATTTCAATAAATTTTTATGAGAAACGTTTTGCTTTCCCTATCGCTCTTTTTATTAGTTAAATGATTTATAAGAGAAAAAATTAAGACGTTCCTCATAGAAATTGGTTTAAGAAGCATAAAATATATTGGCCAGAAAGGCCCAAAATTCTTCCAGAATGTAGGATATATACTTACGGAAAAATTGAGTAAAAACTTCCTTTATTTGATGTTTTATGAAGATAAATAAAAAATAAATCATAAAATGGTTTCCAATCAATTTCCAAATCGTCTGGGCTTACATGTTTTTTACTAAATTTTTTAATTAAATGGTTGATAAATATTTATATTGATTAAATAAGCTGGTCTAAAATTACCGTAATAGTTGACCTAAAGCTATGCAAAAGCAGTTGACACGAACAGGTTCTAAGTCTGGAAGACATATTACTTTAACAACAATTTTAATTAGTCTAATATGATCATCCTTCGAGAATTTCAAGCCATATAATTTGATAAAACTAAAAAAAATAAACAAATATTAAATAAAAATTTGATTTTGTAATTACTAATTAATCTTCAAAAATATTTTAATTTATGACAATGATTGGATGACTCACAAATTTGGATACAAATTAAAGACTGGTTTAAGTTGTAACATAGTGATTTTGCAAAACAAACTATGACAATGCAGTTTAGTGAAAAATATTAAACACAGTACGATTTTAAATTTTTAAGTTTTTTTACCTGGTTAATCTTCTGCAATAAATTTCAGCACCAATCATATCTCTCATGGCAATAGCTTTAATTAAATTATTTTTAATTTTGACAAAATTGAGGTCTGCTTCATCACTAATATTATATGGTAAAAATTTATTCCAGAATAATTCTTTTACACAATCTGAATTTGAATTTTCGCATTCTGTACTGCTAAAACCCTCATCTTCAGTGTCAATCATTTTTTTTTAAATGCAATTTAATAAAATAAAGTATTAAATTTTTAAAAATTAAATTAACTTCAAACAAAATAATATTGTTCTGTTGACGTCGATCAAAATCATTAAAATCAAATTTTATGATGTGTCACAATGACAACATAAGGGTAGAGCTAGCAACCTTTTATATTCCATTAAATATTTTTAATGAGCCGTTTGTTTGTATACGAGTTTACGTCAATTTTACGTTATGTTTTCTTTTCGCAAACGTTTTTATGCTATGTTAACTTTTTAGGGCCCTAATCTGGACGCCTAATTTTTTTTCCGTAAGAAGCTTGAAAATTCGTGTACATAAAATTTTATTTATAAGTAAAATTTGATTGTTCTATTCGAAATTTCATAGTGATTACTATTATATATCTCATTACTATTATATATCTCATGAGCTTTTGCCTTTTCACTAAAATAATTTAGATAAGTAAATTTTATGATTAACTTAAATTAATTTATAAAAATTTATTCAAATTAAATAAACAACCATAAAAGAAAAGTGCTATAAAAGAAAAATATACTCTGCGGGTTTGGAAATGTTTAACATTTGCAACAATTTTGCAATCATTTAACGATTTTAATTAATACACTTAAACTTGCAATTTTTCCTATATTTCTATACGGCATAAGTAACATTAATGACTGATGACAAAAACATGCACGATATATTACTAATAAGAAAAACGTACCTACCAGAATAAAAGTCTATTGTTTCTGAGCTTCTTTGCGGTAACGATTCAGGGGAACTTTTTCAAAAATGGGTTTACCAGGGAGGTTCCAAAAATGTTTCACGAAGGGACTGTCAGATTCGTTGTATAGAAATCCGTTTTTATGAAAACGTAATTTAGCTTGAATTTGTAGAAGTTCAATTTCATTTCTTTTTCTTTTGTTCCACATAGTTGTAAATTAATTAATAAATTAAGTTAAAAAAGGTGCCATCTATACCCTTGTTTCGTTTTATTTTATACACAAAATACAAAATTTTTGTTGTAATTAGTAAAATAAAAAAAAATCCAAAACATTCTTTTGAGGAATTCTGCGTGGAAAAAAATTATAATAATTTATAATAAAATTTAAATACGGCCAAAAATACATTATAGACTGTATATTTTAAAAAAGATGACTATGGGTGAAAATACTATTGCTTCCTTAGTTTTTCCTATAATTTTAAGACCAATATTAACACAGGCAAGTTTATGATTTAAGTTTTGTTTTTGAGGTATGTTTTTTATATTTCTACTTGTTAGTTGGAACATAGAGATTTGGGTGCATCCCAAACTCTAAAATCAGCAATTTCGAAAGCTGAACAAGCGCATAGTGGCTTTTCTTACGATTTTTTAATGGCAATTATTAATAAAATAGAGCTTTCCCATCATTTACCACCAGGACAAAATTTGTATTTGAATGAAATTATTTTACGTTTACAAGGATCAATTTCAGAAAACGAGTGTAAGCTTCTGCATTCTTGCGTATGCACGTATGTTAAATTTTTTTATATTATATTACTAATTACAGTGGTTGAGTATCGCTTAAACCGAGCTGAAGACGCATTCCAAGAACTTAATAAGAAATCTGCTGCTTTAAAAAGAATATTAAGCAGAATCCCAGACGAAATAAGTGACAGAAAGACTTTTTTGGAGACTATTAAGTGCTTTTGATTTTTTCAGTTCTCTGTTACTTAAAATAAAGTTTTGTTTTTATAACCTTTTAGAGAGATTGCTAGCGCCATTAAAAAGTTATTGGATGCTGTCAACGAAATTGTTGGTTTCATTCCGGGCTCATCTGGAAAGCAACAAGTGGAGCAAAGGAAAAAGGAATTTGTCAAATATTCGAAAAAATTCAGTACAACTTTAAAAGAATACTTTAAAGAGGGGCAGTAAGTACCCTTTATTAAAAATTGTAGACATTTTAAACTTTAATATTAAGCGGAACAATAAATTTCAGGCCAAATGCTGTGTTTTTAAGTGCTCTATATCTTATTCACCAAACAAATCAGATAATGATAACAGTTAAAAATCGTTGTGAATAATTTCAAGTATATAGACATGCATCTATATTTATTTACATTAGTTATATAAATATAATGTTTTATCATTTTATAAATAATATATTAAAAAAAGAGAAATAAATAAAGGCAAATTATTCTATTAGATATTTTTTTTTTGTTTTATTTTGCATTTACTAGCGTATACAACAAAATTTATGTCGATCGTTCTTATTCGAATCAAAATGTTGATAACTCCAAAGTAAAATCTGGAGAATATTATTCTATTGTATATTTTGAAAATGAAAATCATAAAAATAAAGCATAACTTGAATGCGAATCGTAATTTTATACCAGATAAAATTGCAAATATTTTAAATTTAAAATTTGAAAAAGTTTAACTATTACAGTAGTATAATATAGATAAAAATAATTATATGTACTTTTTAAGCTTTTATAGTTCGAGAAACTAAAAGAGCTTGTTCCAGAACGTCTATTAATTGACGAAGATTGTTGGGATCTGTTTGAAAAATAACTTGTTTCTTTGTATGACTAGCTTCAGCAACGTTCTTTTTTAGCACAGTTCTATTTTCTCCTCTTGGCTCATTATCCATATGTATCCTTATAACAATTATGGGAGTAACTTGCTTTAAAAGACTTCTCGAAGAGACCTGAAAATATGAATTATCAATAAAATGTAAACTAATGCATATATATCAAACGAACTTTCATATCCAATCGCCACTCTAGATCTGTAAATCTATAGTTAAGGTTATTTAATCTTGTTAGTATAGTTGTTATGATTTGACTTTTGCTTGATACTAATTGGCATAGAATAGGTATTTGTTCTGATGTAAAACCAAAATTTCGGAGATTTTCAATAAAATCAGATTCCGAACCCTGTTAATTGCATATAAAATAAATAAATGGTTTGTGAAAATTAAGTTTTTCAAAACATACGTAAGATTTGCAATAATCGACCAGTAAACAAAGCAAAGCTTCAACACTATTTTGTACAGTGAGATGAGTAGTATTGAGTTTTCCTATTGCAATTAAATAAAAATGTATAAATTAATATGAGGAACTTTATATGTGTTTTTAATTACCTCCTAGTGCAGAATACTTCTTTTTGTTTGGCCCACTATTAAAGTATTCTACAGCCAATTTACAAAAGTCCAACAATATTTCAGCAGATTTATCCCGCAAGAAATTTAAATGTTCTCTTTGATCGTTGGACAAGACAGTCATTTTATAGATAATGCTAAACTATAATATTGATTAATTTGTTTCTTGGATTGTTTCTTGCAAATTGCAATTTCAATAATACAGTATATAAACTTATAAATGTTTATTATTTTGTTTTATTTTACTTTACTTCATAAATTTAAGCTGTCACTTAGTGGTTGATTTTAATGAAAGCGTCGTTCGGTATGTGACATACTGTTGTCAAAATTGTTTTCATTTGCTTTTCAATTTACGCCAAGAGTGACTCAATTTTTGTTATGTTAGGATTTTCTCCATGTACAAATTTTGTAATTCTTGCATAAGAAAAGCTATAGGAAATATGGTGTATCTTAAAATGTTACATAATGTATTTAAAAGAATATTTTCGTTTTTTTTTTATATTTTATTGGTAATTTTTTTTAAGAAAAATTTTTAAAATTGTTTGTTATTATAGAGTTTTTCATGGTCAATTTTACTTTTAAAATTTTTTCTTATGTTATATTAAATATAAAAAATTTAAAATTTTTACAATAGCCGTTATATGAAACGAGGTTTATAGCTTGTGGGACCAATTTTCTTTTTTAAAACCTAAAATTGAAAGTATTTTGGATTGACTAATTTGCGATGCCCTTTTTTGCTCATTTACAAATAAGTATGTTTATACTGCGATGTCGATATGTGTGGTCACTTCTTTAAATCTTTTTTCAATTTTTCATTTAATATATTTCAACATTTGAATGTTTCTTATGCGATTGAAAAAAATTTTTTAAGTGATGACATATTAAATTTAGATAATTTTTAAATTTGAAGGCAGCCCTGAAAGTTGAAACATTTTCAGTTATTTTGACAGTTTAGATGCCAGCGTACATGAAAGTTTGACAATAGCAATGTAATTAGATTTCCAATTAACAAACTTTCAAAATCGTCTGTTTTTCAAATTGTAATTATTAATAATACTATTTTTCACCATAATTAATGAGAAATAATCTCGTGTTACTTGAAAAGTACTTAAGTAAATATGCTGAAGGTATGTATAAGGCTATAGTAATGGTCCACAAAATTGAAATATACAAAACTTAAAATTTATTTGCAGTTAATTAAAAAGAAATATTAAATTGCAAATGTTCGCAAACATCCAAATAACATTTTTGTTTTTTATTTTCCAAGATTCTGAAAAATAAGAAAAAAAATGAAATTTTTACGGTGAAAATGTAAAATAATTTGTTTTATATTACAATTTTTTGGAAATGCTTCTTTATTCGAAATGTACAAAATTAAAAAAATAAGTATTACAAATTTAAAAACAAATTATTTTGGCTTCTTTGGTTTATATTCATGCATTTAAATTTAAAAGTTTCTAAAAAACGAATCTAAAATTGTATTAAAATACAGAAACATTTTATTGCAATTTTTCATCTTCAAGTTTTCATAACTTTATTTATATTTATCAAACATTTTGATAACATACACCTACATATGTTTTTTTTTTTTAGGGTAAAGGACAAAGATCTTTTGAGGATATTTGGCCTCAGATGAGACCAATAGTTTTGAAATTATTGCAACAAGAAACAGTTTCTCAGGCAGAATGGCAAGATTTGTTTTATGGTGTGCATTTGGTTTGTTTATGGGATGATAAAGGTGCTACAAAAATATATGATTGCCTTCGAGACGATATAGTTAAGTTTATAATTCAAGCTCAAAAAAGAGTACAAGTTGAAAGAGAAGAACAAGCTCTTTTGAAATCTTACATTATCGAATGGAGAAAATTTTTTACTCAAAGTAGCTATTTGCCATTACCTTTTCGACAACTAGAAAGTACATTACAAGGTAAAAGTTCGTCCTCAAGTAATAATTCCAGTAGTAATTCTCAGAAAAAGGGCTGTAGTGAAGAAAGTATTGTTCGAAAGTTAATGTTGGATTCTTGGAATGAAAATATATTTAGGGATATTAAAGATAGATTACAAGATTCTGCAATGAAAATGGTACATGCCGAACGGAATGGCGATAGCTTCGATTCTCAACTAGTAATTGGAGTGCGTGAGAGCTATGTGAATTTGTGTTCAAACCCAGAAGACAAATTAGAAATATATAGAGAAAATTTTGAAGCGGCTTATTTAACTGCAACTGCAGAATTTTATCGTTTAAAAGCAAATGAGCAACAGCAGTTAAATGGGGTCCAAATTTTTATGCGATATGCTGATATGAAACTGCGCGAAGAGGAAGCCAGAGCTAAGCGATATTTAGAACCTAGTAGTTTTCCACCATTAGCGCAATGCTGTGTCAATGTATTAATAGGAGATCATTTGAATACTTTACTAGCGGAATGTGCGCCTCTTATAAAATCGGGTGAAACTGAAAGATTAAATTTAATGTTTAGGTTATTAGATCGCGTACAAGGCGGAGTAGATCCAATGCTTAGAGATTTGGAAAATCATATAGTTAGTGCGGGATTGGCAGATATGATAGCCGCTGCGGATATCATAACACAGGACTCGGAAAAATATGTTGAAAGGCTGCTCGAATTATTCAAAAGATTTAGCATACTAGTAAAAGAAGCATTTAATGATGATCCACGATTTTTAACAGCTAGAGATAAAGCATTTAAAAATGTTGTGAATGATACAACAGTGTTTAAGGTGACTTTTTTATTGATAAAAATAATGAAATTTATACAAAATCATTTTAGTTGGAATTGCCAGTCGCAATTACTGCGAGGGGTATTAAAACAACCACTCCAGAAAGTAAATGTCCAGAACTTTTAGCAAACTATTGCGATATGTTGTTAAGAAAAACTCCTTTAAGTAAACGGCTTACAAGTGAACAAATAGAAAGTCGTCTGCGTGATGTTTTGTTAGTCCTAAAATATGTCAGCAATAAAGACGTTTTTATGAGATATCATAAGGTTCACCTGACTCGAAGGTAAGTTTAATCACATTTCTTTCAATTGATCAATGTAATGTAAAAAACCATTTTTATCTTTACCAGACTAATATTAGATTCAAGTGCGGATAGTGAAAAAGAGGAAGACATGGTGGAATGGCTTAGAGAAGTTGGAATGCCAGCTGATTATGTTAATAAGTTGGCGAGAATGTTTCAAGATATTAAAGTAAATTTTTATAGAAAACATAATATGTTACACTATTCACACAATTTTGATTCAGGTTAGCGAGGATCTGAATACACAATTTAAATCTTCCACAACACGTCATGATACAATAAATATAAAAATTTTGAATGCCGGAGCTTGGGCGAGATATTCTGAAAGAGTGTCTGTTAGTTTACCTTTAGAACTAGAAGATTATATTCCTGATGTTGAAGATTTTTATAAAAAAAAACATTCGGGGAGAAAATTGCAATGGTACCATCATATGAGTAATGGAACAATAACCTTTGTAAATAATATTGGTAGATTCGATTTAGATGTTACTACTTTTCAAATGGCTGTTTTATTTGCATGGAATCAACGTCCTTATGAAAAAGTTTCATATGAAAATTTAAGACTCGCTACAGAGCTTCCAGGTATTATTATTATAGTTAAACAATCAACTTTTCTTTCATTATCGCGTGCTATGTTTAATATTTTTAACCAGATCCTGAGCTTAGACGAACGCTTTGGTCTTTAGTAGCATTCCCTAAATTAAAAAGACAATTACTTTTAATGGATCCAGTATGTGTCGCTTCAAAAGATTTTTCTGAAAACACAGTGTTTTGGGTTAATCAGGAATTTGCCATAATCAAAAATGGAAAAATGCAAAGGAGAGGAAAAGTACAAGACATTTTTATAAAAAAAAAAAATATTTTTTAATAAATTGACTTCTTTTTCTAGTTGAATCTTATTGGTAGACTACAGCTTAGTACTGAAAGGTCACAACAAGAAGACAATCAATCAATTGTTCAACTGCGAATACTTAGAACTCAAGAAGCTATTATTAAAATAATGAAAATGCGAAAAAGAATAAATAATGCTGCATTGCAAGTAAGAATATAAAAGATATAAAAACAAATTTCAATTTACATACCTGAAATTTATGCTGATATTGTTTTTAATGTATGAATATTTCAGGCTGAATTGGTTGATATTTTAAAAAATATGTTCCTTCCTTCTAAAAAAATGATTAAAGAACAATTAGAATGGCTGATTGAACATAAATATATGAGAAGAGATGATGATGATATTAATACATTTATATACGTGGCTTAGTGTTCAGTATTTAAAATTCTAATTTATAATTTCTTAAAAAATTGAATAAAAAAAATACATTATTTAAATCAATAAATTTTGTTTTTCATATAATCAATAAATTTTAATTTCTTGAAAATTTTTTTCTGTTGGTTTAAAATTAGAGTTAAGAATCGGCAAATAAAAAAAAAAAATAGGGAATCCCCGGGTTAAAAAATACATAATATTTTACTTTTAATACGGGGGAATCCAGAAATATATTCCACCAATATAAAAGATTTATAAAACCATTTTATTGAAATGTCGAAATTCGACATTTAAATAAAAAGAAAACGTTTGAATATGACGCAAATTAAAATTTATATTACTTCAAATTGAATTTGATTAAAAATTTATACATAATAATGTAGATATTCTTTAGTATGTGATTAAAATTAAATAAAAATTATTTAATTAATTTAAAACTTACAATTTAACTTTGTTCATTAGAATAGTTTTGCAAATGTAAGAGCATTTTGTGAAAATAAATTTCTAGAAAAATTTTTTTTTTAAATGCGAAAAAAGAAAAAGTTTATTTTTAAAATCTATTTCATATTGTTCAACTATAATTATATTAAAATTATTCATGTTTACCACTTGTGTACGTTTATAATGCACATATGTATATTAATGTGCAGGACCGTAATACAAAATTCACGTTGAAAAGGTAATGCATTTCACATAGTACAAATATAGACACGTATTTTTGTTTAAGGCGAGTTAAGAATATTTTTTACAATATTTACCTTTTCAAAATTTAAAATATGTGATATTCGTATGTATGTATGTATAATGTACATACATAATATATACAATGGATAATTTATATTGCGTCAATTCAGTATGTATTATATGTATAGCATATTATATGTGTAGCATATTTACAATTTTATGATCAATACTGAAAATTCTTAAATTTTTATATTTTTTTTATGTAATGTTGTAATAATATAATAAAATACAAAACGTCTATGAGTGAATTCCTTTTTATTTACTATGGGAAGGAAGTGAAAATAATATGTACCTATTAAGTATACATATATGTATGTATGTAAGTAGAAATGTAAATTTTTAAATTAGTTTAATGAAGCACAGATGACTTATAATCCAATTTTTTTTTTATTTTCACCAAAGTACATACATATTCAATAAAATAGAATAATAATGATAAAAATAATAATAATAATACAAAAGTAAAATAAGCTTAAAAATTTAAATTTAGACTTGAACTTCAATTATTTATCAATATATATTTGTTTTTTTATTATATACTTACCTACATACTCGTTCTTTTGTAATAATATAAATTTACATTGACTTTCTACTCTTACCTTCGACACTAAGTTCTTATGTATGTTAATACATATTATAAATAAATAATATTTAAATGTGAATAAGTATGAAAATATATACATACCCACATGTACATATGTAAATGTATAAATTTTATTTGTTTACTTCTAATCCGGCAGGTATATAAGAACTAACCTGCATAATGGTATTTAGTTTCATACTTCTTGCAATACAACTTAATAATTATACTAATTATTTTCATATTAAATTTCAATTCGTTTCATTCTGGTTAGAGATAAAAATTTTGATTAGAGAAATTAACACTTAAATTATGTCTTAATAATTTTTAAATTTTCACTTTAGTTATAGCCTATGTTTATATTTGTATGTAGAAAAATGTTGCCTAGTTTAATATTGTGTCTCTTCGTCATGTTTTTTACCTTTGCCTATATAATGCATACATTTTTTACATTATTTACACATATATAATTTTATTATAAATATTTCATATTCTGTCTGGCTTGGAATTTTAATATTATAGAATTTAAGTATACAGATAAATTATCTCAAATGATATCCAAATAAAATACGCATTCTTTTAAAATTTTTCTTTTAGAATTTTGTAAAAGAAATAAGAATAAATTATCAGTATTAATATAATAAATTAAAAAATCCTTAAATTAAAAATAAATTACTTTTGAATCGAATATATCACAAATTTTTGTCGCTAACATAAGGTCTAATAATCGAATGTGCCTATACTATAAAAAATTACGATCTAATCTAGAAGTTCGAATTATGTAGCCATAAAGTTGTATGATTAAAATTATGTTTTATTTTTAGTTAAAGAGAAAAATTGCCTGACGCACGTATGTGCTCTACTGGCGAATGTGCTCCAGTTTCCCCTACAATACTAACTTGTTAATTAATTTCAATACTAACTTGTTATAGAAATATATTTGGAGTCAGACAGTTTTTATCATTTTAGCAAGTAATCGTAACTTCATAAACTAATTTTGTATCTTTTATAATATGACTACTGAAATTAGGCATCATAATGGTACAAGAGAATTGTCAATATGTCATAATATGAAATATATACATATACACACATTATAAATACAACAATATTTTCGAATTTTTACATAAAAATGGCTGTTTAACGGTAAATATATTGTTATAGTAGTACTATTATTAGAAGATGGAATAATAAAATTTCAAGATTAATACTAAATGTGTAATATAAAATTATTTGTATATAAATGTTATGTATACAAATGATTATAATAGTCTGTCTGTTACTAAACAACGCCTTATTACGTTGCAATATTGCATATGTAATCATTTAAATGTGGTTTTATATATTGATCTAACTTGAATTATACATACTTACTTTGAATTAAATTTAGATTTCTACGGATATTATATAAATTTCTTCAATATCCATACATTCATATATATATGTTACTATATACCCATGAATCAAGAGGTTTTATATTATACCTAATATATATATATATATATATATAAATGCATAATATTGCATATTGCTAATAAGATATTAAAAACGATAAAATATATATAGAGAATAAAATGGTATAAAGAAAATTTGTCAGCACTTCAATGTGTTTTAATGTTAATTAAGAAAATTTTCTTATATTTTTAATTTCTCTTCTTTTATTTAAGACTAATTGAATCAACGGATTTGGATTATTTTAATATAAAAAGGTTGTCAATTTTATGAATAATCTTAGTTGCGACATTAAATTCGAAATATTATCGGCTCTATTTAATTAAATAAGCCAAAAATAACGAGTAAACTGAAACGTTAATTTTCCGAAATTATTATTTTATTTTTATTTTTTTTTATTTTAAGTAATTAATTGACTTGGTTTAAATATCAATAAAATAAAAAACAAAAAAAAACTAAAAAAAATTGCAATTAATGCTGTACAATCATATACATTTATTTTGTATATAAAGGATGAATTTAAAAATGAATTTAAAATTTGATAGTCCAAAATATGAATATTCGCGTTCACCAAGTGGCAATATATCTGTTGTTGATATTGTTTTACCAGATGTTTTACATTTGATTGATAATTATTGGTATCAATTTCCACCGTTAAATCCATTATGGCATGGTATATTAATGTTTGTAATGTGTATATTAGCAATATTATCATTAAGTGGAAATTTTATTGTTATATATGTATTTACATCAACGAGAACATTAAGGACACCATCAAATTTATATGTTGTTAATTTAGCTATATCTGATTTTCTAATGATGTTTACAATGGCACCACCATTTTTAGTTAATTGTTATAATGAAACATGGGTTTTTGGTCCATTAATGTGTCAAATATATGGTATGTGTGGTTCATTATTTGGTTGTACATCAATATGGTCAATGGTATTAATAGCAAATGATAGATATAATGTTATTGCAAAAGGAATGGCAGCAAAACCATTAACAATAACTATGGCAATTATAAAAATTTTAGCAATATGGTTATTTAATTTGGCATGGACAATTGCACCAGTATTTGGTTGGAATCGTTATGTACCAGAGGGTAATATGTCAGCATGTGGTACAGATTATTTTTCAAAAGATTGGTTAAGTCGTTCTTATATTGTTTCATATTCAATTTTTGTGTATTTTATACCATTATTTTCAATTATCTATGCATATTATTATATTATTAAGGTAAGTTGGAATCATTTCAAATATATAACACTATATATAATATGTCCTTTATATATATGTCAAATTTGTTTGATTGAACTAGAATCTAAGATGAAATAAATGTATTGAGAAATTTTTAAAAAAATTCTAATATACGGTTCATATTATCTTCTGATACTTATTTCTTCTAAATTAAATTAGAGAATTATCATAGCATTTATTTCGTATGACAATATAACTGCATCCTATTACAAATAAATGTTAAATATTTTAGTATTTTTTAAATAATTTGAACCTCTTTTCAATTATTTTTCCATATTTGATCATATTTACTGCGCATCTAAGTAGTACGTATGTATGGATACGTACGAACTGCCAGCAACATTATATTTAATCCATTTCTTCTTTGTATGTTTTTTTCCATTACAGAGTATATACATATAAACATTATAGTTTTATTCTACTTAAAACTGATAATATATGGGATTTAAACATAAAAACGAAAAATTTAAATGAAAAAACAATGAATGATTACAAATTTTAATCTCATTAAATTCGAATTAATTTTTTAATACTATGGTAAAAATACTATTTTCTATCAATGTAAGCAGATAGTCTTATAGACTTATAAAAAATATATAAAGTGTTTAATCCTATTTAATCTTCGTTTACCTTATGTATATATATATACGAACTATTTACGAAAGTAAAATGTAAATTAGAAATAATTATTACATTTTGTAGTCCCATCGTTTAGCCCAAAAGTTCTGTTAAAAGGAATATAATTTTAAAGAAATTAAAATAACACACTAATATATAAGTATGTTAATTTAAATAAGACTTTTGGGCCTGATCGTCTATCTCGCTATTTTACTCGGAAATTGAGAAGAAAGGAAGTAACTGTCATATATTTGTATAATGTAATTTTCGAGTGAAAATTAAGTATTACTCGGTATTGCTCGTTTTTTTCCAAAAAAATTCAATTGAAAAAATGTGAAATCTTATTGAGAAAATTAAATACCCATTAGAAAATACTGAGAATTCTGAGTTGAAAGTGAATAAAAAGTGAGTAAAAAATCGAGATACACGATCAGGCTGTTAATTTTACACAAAATTCTATGGTACAAAAATCCGAAACCTATATATACAAAAAATATAATTTTCCTTTTCTTTTACGTATTTCATAAATTGCATAAATTACGGCAAAAATGTGTATAACAAAAATATTGTTTTCTATACACTTAACAAGAAAATTTTATTATATACAATATTATATATATTTATTTTATTTTATTTACCTTATATGGTACTCGTGTATATATGAACAATGTTAAAAAAGAACTCATTTTACAGGCGGTAGCAGCTCATGAAAAAAATATGAGAGAACAAGCCAAAAAAATGAATGTAACTTCATTAAGATCTGGTGATGATAGTAAAAATATATCTGCTGAATATAAATTAGCAAAAATAGGTATATGAATAACTAATTTTTGACATTCCAAAAAAATTTTTTATGAAATTTTCATTTGTTTTTTAGCACTTATAACAATATCTTTATGGTTTGTCGCATGGACACCATATTTAATTATTAATTGGTTTGGAATATTTGAAATAGCTTCATTATCCCCATTAAATACAATTTGGTAATATAAAATATTTATGTTATTATATTAAATACACACACACAAATATTTATTTATTAATATTCAAATATATTTAAATAAAATTTTTGCAGGGGTTCATTATTTGCTAAAGCGAATGCTATATATAATCCAATTGTTTATGCTATTAGGTAAGTATTATATAGGAGATAGATCTAGAAATATGTGTGTCTATATATATCGGAAAATATATTGAATTATGTATAGTATCCTATAATTGGGAGTTAAGCTCCGAGTAATGAAATACCAGAGTTTTATGGAATTATTGGGTTTCTGTTTGTATTCTTTCAGTTTTTTTTTATTTCTTATGGGAAAAATAAATTTTCTCAATTGCAGGAAGGTATGTACGTAAGAGGGATAGAAAAGGAAAAAATAACTAATAATAAACTGCATAATTGTGTACAACCCTGCTCATAGTTAATATTTTGATTAGAAACTGGAAACATTTTGATGAGAAAATGGAACAAACTAAAAATAAATTTAAACTAAAATCCCATAGTAAATATTTTGAATGCAGATTGAGATTAGATATTTAAAATTTTTTTTTTGGTGAACGGTTGAATCATTGCATTCTCTTGTATACAAACAACTATATTCTGTGTTTTCGATCTTCTATAAAGAGGAAGTCTGAAATCACTAGTGTTTTTCAAATTGCTATAACCACCAATATCTATATGTTGAATTTCTTAGGAGAACACAGATGAAAATATTGAATTATTGCATGTAATATTATTGTTGCACATTTTTCAGATATTTTGTATTGTCGTAAGAAAATCAATATTTATTTAGATATTTGTTTAGGGACAAAATGTTTACAGCATATTTTCACCAAAATTTAATTAATTGTTACTCTTAAATATTTTAAACTATTTACTATTTTAATTTTTTTCATAGCCATCCAAAATATCAAGCAGCATTATATGAAAAAATACCATGTTTAGCATGTGACGCAAATGGAAGTGAGAAAAAAGCAGTATCAAATAATGATGGAAATCAATCAACTGTTACAGCTGAAGAAGTCAAAGGAAACTAAACCAGCAACAAAAAAAAAATAAAATTATTGAACAAAATAATAAATGAAATAAATATGTGTGTATCAAATTGTTTATACTTATAATCCACAAAAAAAAAAATGTAATATACAATCGGAGAAATTTCAATACAAAAGAACGAAAGTAAATATCCAAGCACTTTAACACGAACATCGTTCTATAACATTAAAATAAACATAACATTGAATAACATAATCGAAGAATCATCGAAAAAATCTAACATCTATACATTGTTAACATCTATAAATAAATTATGAATATTTTTATAATGATGAGATGCAACTATAATTGAAAACCATAATTATTGGACTTTTTAAATTTAAATTAAAAATTCTGATTAATAAAAATGTATTGTGGGTTTTTTTTTCTTTTTTGGAGTTTGTTTTTTCAATACTTTGATAGGAGCCCTTTTAAAATCATCCTTGAGTTTCTGTAAATTGATCTTTGATAACAAAAGAACTTTCATTAAAAAATTTCATGTAACAAGAATTTAAAAACTCAATCCTTAAATAAAAAAACTGACAATGGTAGCTGTCACAACTGAGACCTTACATGACTCAATTTTTTTTGTAAATGTTAAGGAAATTTCATTAACAAGTCGAATATTTTCATAATAGAATAGTCAACAACATTTTAATAACATTTTGAATGATTGAAAAATTGATTTTAAAAAACCTTTTGCAAAATCTGAAAAGATTTTAATTAATGTAGATATTCATTAGAAAACTCTTGTTGTGAGGTTTCCAAATCATATTTTATTAAGCGTCTGTTCAACATTTAGAATTAAATTTAAGTTGCTGTAACACGGAATCTCTTCAACTGTGAACATACATTTTGCCTAAACATACATTTATTAAATTTTTACCTACTCATGAGAGTGCATTTAAATACGAATCTTCCCGAACATAGAAAAATGCTCAAAATATTCTACTGAAATATGAATATAAAAGAAATTAGTAAGTAAGTATGGTTTTTTGTTTAATTTTGGGTTCGACATTTAAGATAATTGGATAATAGACAAACGTACCATAAAATTTTATACATCATTAAAATTATTTTGCTGAATAATGATGACGTTAAAATTGGAGCTCGTTTGAATAGCCACTAAAAATTGTTTTATTAATTTTTATTGTATTAAAATTTATTATTTTAGAAATATCCTTTATGAAATTGATCCATTAAGTATATAATACCTTACTCATAGGTTTTTTAATATTTTATTTAAACATTTAATTGCTTTTTACAAATTTTGTGTCAGTGGGAATTTATACTTGAATTTAAAACGTCTAGCGCCTCTCGTTTAATTTAACCTTACTGTTGAATATTTGGTAAATATGAAGGCTGTACGGGTATTCCTTTTGTGAAATTTTCCTGTTCTGCATAATCTAAAATGAATTAATAGTCAATATTTTAGAACAAAATTAATTATTTAAAATTATATATACGAGTAGCATAAGTTATTTTATTTATTGGCCGTATATGCACGTAATGTAAGAACTATATAATGAATACCTTTTCCTGCTCAAGTCTCTGTTTTTGCTAATCTTCTTTAGATTCTTTATTACTGTTCCATATTATATAGAAATATTTTTAAAATCCTTAAATTAAGCAAATTAATTTATCCGTAATTCGTCTTCTTAAATTTACCAATTGAAATTTCGTGTTAATTTCTTCATTTACTTGTCCCTTTAATTTCCTACACCATTGGGTTTATTATTTATTCCTTTTATATTTTAAAATTTATTATTTTTTTATGTGAAAATCAATTCCTTTTTTTCGAGTCTTCCTTTACTGTTGATTCAAAATCTTTGATTTTTGTACAACTATATAAAATAATACTAAATCGGCCACTGTGCTATTGTGCTGTACTATAAGAACTGTAATATTTTTAAAATCTTATTCTATTAATTTCATATTTTTCATCCTGAAAGAAACAACAGAATTAAAATTATAAAAAAAAAAGTAAAAATTTGAAATACGTATCTTAAAAATTCCTCATGATTTATCAAAATGGATAACATAAAAAAAAAAAATTATAAAATGTTAATTTAAATATTATCATGTTCTATTCTAAGCTAACAGAGATATTGATCAGTTAATAATTGATTAAATCTATTTAATTCAAATATTTTTCAAAAAATATAAAAAATTGGATTCCATAATTTCTCTATATTATAATTGAATCTTGGCAAGAAACCCTACTATATTCTCAAAATACATGAATATTAAACGTGTGGTGTTATAATATTTTTATTACACTTAAATAAATTTATATTAGTCGCACAATATTATTGTATAAGAATAAATAAAATGATATTTTATTCTTAATCAATTGCACATGCAAGAATTATTATTGTTTTTATTTCTTTAATCTTCACATATAAATTTTGTAAGTATATGTAGTTATGAATGAGCTAAAAATATATTTATTCGTTTATAATAGGAATTGTATGGAAAAACAGTCCCAAAACTGTTGATGTAATGACTCCTGTCATCATTGTCACAAAACAGCGTATGAAAAGAAAAATGAGTGAAAGACAAAAATTACCTCTCACTAAGGAAAAAATGAGTAAATGATAAGCCAGCTGTATCATTCATTTTTTCTTAATGATGATATCGAATTTTTTTTTTATATAAAATCACAATACACAATAATTGCAACTACTTTTGACAGTTAATTTTTTAATAATGACACCAAAAATGAATGACAGGTTCACAAAAATGTGAATGAGAAAAATAAATATGACAGGCCCCGTTATTTCTTTAAATATTGTTAAGTGCTGTTATCATATTTTACAAGTGCTTACAAATTAGGTGGTAGATGAATTTGTACAGGAGTGGGAGAGCGGGGTAGAGTTTGTGTTTAATTAAATTTTCGTTAGATTTGGTTTTAGGGGTTCAGGTGCAATCGCTCAATTAATATTTTTAATAACAGAAAATACTCGATCCTTTATTTTTGTAAATATTTTGAAAATTTTCTTCTTTTGTCAATTAATTTTCGTGTATAATCGTATGTACTGTTATTTTAATATATAATAACTGTTGATATTGTTGTACGGCACAACTCTAACAATAGTATTTAAGTAATTGGTTCCTATAGTTTGTATATTATACTCAATATATTTTAATAATAGTATTTGAAATTTTATAAAATTTATAGTTAAATTTTTAAATACGTGTTTCAATTCGTAAGGAAATTTACGTCTATAATTGGAAGACCATATCTTTTTGTAAGAAATTCAGTACACTAGTGAAGTTAAAAAAATGACAAATTATTTTATATGAAATTGACATATTATGCATAGATTAAAGTTCACTATCCCGTGAAGAAAATTAACAGAAGAAGAGTAGCTATCAATTCTTTGGAAATTTGACAAAATCCGATATCTACCTTATCGGAATTTGCAAATTTTGTGACCTTGACCGCGCTATTTACAAATTACAAAAATTGACCATTTCTGTAATTTGCAAATATAGCAACATATTGTTATTCCAAAGACCCACAATACCTATATATTGATATAGTACCTATCATATTAATTAAGCAACTGAAAATTTATACATGTATTCTAATTCATAGCAATGCATATACTTATAGAAATTAAAATATGCAATAAAAGCATCAACAAATAATTACAGTGTAAAACAATGGTCTCTCTAAATTTACATATACGTCATAACATGTTGATATCCAAATGAAATGCGTTATATATATACATACTATACGCAGATATATAATAAAAATTTTTTTTCGATATATAATATATATGTATATAAACGAATTAAAAGGGTTTTATATGGACATGTGTATCGATATAATATTGAATATTGTCTTATTATATTTTGAAGACAATAAAATACAGTAGAATATGAATGGAACAAACTCATATAGCAGGACTTGACATAAAATAAGATTTTAAAATTTTAGTGTTAATATTTCTAACGTGCTGTAGTGCAACTTTAATGCAATTTAGTGCAAATCGCCACTTAAAACTCAAACAGATTATTAAAACACATTCTTTTACACATAATTCCAGCCTGTATATTTTGATTTCTAGTAAACCAATTGTTCCTGCGAATTTTGAATAAAATTGAATACCCGAGCTTTCATTATTGCGAGTTTTAATATTAAATGAATTGAACTTTCGAGTAAAATTAAAAATTTTTGGATTTGGCTTTAGGTAAAATTGCTTCAATCGCTATTCAATATATAGAGGTTTCACTGTATGAAAATAAAATGGTAAAGAAAATCTGTCGGCACTTCAATGTGTTGATATTAAACAAGACAATTTTCTTATATCTTTTATTTATTGTTTTATATTATTTAATATAAATTTTATAAATAACGATAAATATAATTATTGGAGGCTAATTAAATAAACGCTACGAATTATTTTAATATAAAAAGGCTGTCAAGTTTTAGAATAATCTTAGTTGCGACATTTAATTCGAAATATCATTGGCTATTTTAAATAAACAAAAATAGCAAATATTAAATATAGTTCAATTGATTAAACAATTAATTTTTTTTTTAAATTTTTTTAATAATTTTTTTTTTAAGTTCAAAATCGAAAGCTAAATTTTAATTTATGTTGTAAAATTATAAAAAAATTTTAAATTAGTTTTACAAAAATAAAAAAAAAAAAACCAAAAAATACAAAATGGATTATCAGAGGCATTTAAAATTTGATAGTCCGAAATATGAATATATGCGTGCATCAAATGGCAATCTATCAGTTGTTGATATTGTAATGCCTGATGTTTTACATTTAATTGCGGATCATTGGTATCAATTTCCGCCAATGAATCCATTATGGCATGGTATATTAATGTTTGTAATGTGTATATTAGCAACAGTGTCAATAACAGGAAATTTCATTGTTATATATATATTTACATCAACGAAAGCATTAAGAACACCATCAAATTTATTTGTTATTAATTTAGCTATATCAGATTTTTGTATGATGTTTACAATGGCACCACCATTATTAGTTAATTGTTATAATGAAACATGGGTATTTGGGCCATTTATGTGTCAAATATATGGTATGTGTGGTTCATTATTTGGTTGTACATCAATATGGTCAATGGTATTAGTAGCCAATGATAGATATAATGTTATTGCAAAAGGAATGGCAGCAAAACCATTAACAATAACATTGGCTATAATTAAAATTTTAGCAATATGGTTATTTAATTTGGCATGGACAATTGCACCATTATTTGGTTGGAATCGTTATGTACCAGAGGGTAATATGTCAGCATGTGGTACAGATTATTTTACAAAAGATTGGACTAGCCGTTCTTATATTCTTGCTTATTCAGTGTTTGTCTATTTCTTACCACTACTATCAATTATCTATTCATATTACTTTATTATTAAGGTAAATATCATATTTCTTACACGTGCTTTTAAAAGATTTTATAAAGTAGCTTTTACTAGTTGTTATATGTATACTTTAAGTTAATAGCAAAATTTTTTGTTTTAAAATTTACTTTAGTTATTATTTTTGTAATTCTATATAATTACTATTAAAACAGCTAAGAATACTTTTAATTTTTTGATATATTTCAAAAATAGATCTTAACATATTGAAATATTCATTTTAATTTCTCATAACTGTACACTCTTACACAACCTATACATTATGAATTCACCTCATTTAAACATGGTGCTTAAGTATGACTCTAATGGTGAATAGAGTTACTTAAACTGTACGAGAAATTCTCAATTTTTAATTAGTTTTGTTTCAATAAATAAAATAAATTCACACACTTGTTATATTTTTTTTATATTATTTAAAAATATATTTTATACAAAATAAACATTCAAATAAAAGAAATAAAATTAAAATCCCGTAGGATTACAAATTTAATCAGATTAAAATTGAATTTATTTTTTAATTCTTTACTTATAAGTACAAAAGTACAAATAAATTTCCTTATATTTTCTTTTACATTTCTATTACATTTCTCTTACATTTTGCATTATAAATCTATTTATATAAATTTAAAATAAATTAATTTTAATAGCTATTATATTTGAGGTTTTATTTCTCTCTTTACTTCTTATGTTTTATGTCTAAGATTATTTAATATTCTGTAATTTTAATTTTAAACAACGGATGTGCGTTTCGAACACGAATCAATTAATACACTGAAAACTATAATGATTTTTTCAAAATTTCGTCTCATATAGGAGTACTAAATTTTATCCTTTTCCGTATTTTTATTCATTTTAACTCAAAAAAAAAAATCATATCAAAAAAATTATGAAACAAAATTTGTAAATTAAAACTTTTTGATTATATTGTTACTGACCCTTTAAGCATTTAGCGTTGTCATTTCCTTTTTCACTCCTTTGTCATGACTTTTAACACCATTTTTAATGAATCCATTATGTAAAATAAAATTCACAAAATATATGAGGTTCGAAAATATTGCATATATTTATGGGTACCCAAGAATGGTAATAGTGAAGTACTTTCACCCTTAGTACATTAACTTACGTTTACATATTATTCATTGTTTCCTTTTTTTTCGAAAATATAACACGATCAGTGAGTATGTACATATGTACATATGTGCATACAAACAAAATATATTCTGATTGTTTAAGTAGATTTCTGTAATTTACATAAATAGATTTCAATTCTTTGGATTCAGAAAATTTAAAATGGTATAAAAATTTTGGAAATAATTAATATGATTGTACAGAAACTTTTAAATTTTATTATTTATGGAGGCTCAACTTTTGCCTTTTGTAAATTTTAAAACTATTTATTTACTCTGAGTGGTGAAATTAAATTATAATTTTAAAATTGATTCAACCAGACCAGAAACAGAACAAATTGTAATTTTTCAAAAAAAAATGCAATTTTTGACAAGTAAATATTTTTTTACGATAACCGAAATCAGTCTGAATAGAAAATTTCAAGACTTTTGAAAATTCTATAAAATTTTCTTAAGAATTTCGTTTTTATACAATTCCATTCATCAATTTTTAATCATTACAATTCGCATGGCTTTATTATTTTTAGAAAAACAAATTATTTTAATTAGAAGAATTAATTTACTCTAGGGTAAACTTTTATTGAAATTTTGTATTCTAACATACCTTAATATTTTCAATTTAATATTTCTATTAAAAGGAAAAATTTATTACATATTTTGTATATTATTAGAGATTATTTTATTTCTGTTATATTATATTATAAAAAAAAAATTTCTTATTTACGCATAGGCAGTAGCAGAACATGAAAAAAATATGAGAGAACAAGCCAAAAAAATGAATGTCGCTTCTTTGAGATCTGGTGGTGGTGATGGTGATGGTAAAAATATGTCAGCTGAATATAAATTAGCGAAAGTAGGTTAGTAAAATTTATTCATTTTATATTATATGAAATTTAAATTTTATTTTAAATTTTGAAATTTTCTTATTCTTATAATAGCACTTATAACAATATCATTATGGTTTATGGCGTGGACACCATATTTAATTACTAATTGGATGGGAATTTTTGAAGTTGGAACTTTAACCCCATTAAATACAATTTGGTAATATAAACGAAATATATTTTTTTATTTTAAATTTATAATATGATTTTATTTTACGTATAGGGCTTCAATATTTGCTAAAGCAAGTTCAATCTATAATCCAATTGTATATGCAATCAGGTAAATTATATACATATATATATATATATATATATATATAACAGTATTATAATAGAAATAAAAATTTATAAAATAGTGTTGACATATTGTATAAATACTCGTATTTATATTCGTTATGAATTAAAGAAATGAAAACGATATAAGGTTATTTAGTTAAGAGAAGATTATTAAGATTTATTATATAAATACATACATATATTAATTTTCGAAATTTGTAGCTAGATACAATTAAATTGTTATACAAAAATTATATATGTATGTATGTACAGTGCAAATCACATATGGTTTATACTGTTTATTATAAGGGGGCCATACAACGTTCTAGTCACAAATTCTTACAAAATTTGTTGTGTAGCTATATAAGCCGCTTCCGAATATATATATATATATATATATATATATAAAATATTGGTAGAACTTTATGTAAATATTGGAATAAATCAAAATTTAATATTAGATCTAAATATATGGGAAGATGCATTTCATTAATAATAAAGCAATTTTTGAGAAAATTTAAAACAATTGAATTCAAACTTATGTACAGATTTTCTAATTTAAATAGTACTTACTCAAATAGTTATAAATTTTATGTCGAAAACACATTCAAATTCACAATTATTTTAAAATAATTATAAATTTAATAATTAAACATTTAATTATATTTTTGTGTATAGCCATCCTAAATTCCAATTGGCATTAAAAGAAAAAATGCCATGCTTATCATGTGGAGGTGAAGAAGAGAAAAAATCAGCATCAAATGATAATCAATCAGCGGTAACAGCTGATGAAACAGCGAAATAAATTAATTATATATAGATATAAGTTAAAAAGTGTTTACAAATAACAAGAACTGAAAAATTATATACAAAATACGACTACAGCAACAACAACAGTATATGAAAAAGAAAAAAAATATGTGTGTATCAATTTATGTTTGTAATCGAAAAAATTAGTATAACGCATATTATACAATCGAAATAATTGTTAATGAAAAAAAAAAAAAATGAAAACAAAACAGACAAAAAATCAAAATAACATCAAAGCACTATATATAAATATAACAAAATAAAACATCGCTATATAACATTAAAAGAACATAACGTTTTATAACATAATGAATGAATGATCGAACAATTATATACATACTTATATATTTTTAATAAAAATACAAAATAAATGCAGTTTTATTTCAATTACACCATTTTTTTTTTGTAAAATGCATTCAACACAATGCAAGTATAATTAATAATTGCATATAAACCATGTATCCATATCAAAAGAGTGGAGACTTCATAAACATATATTGCATATACCTACTTGTGTTAAAAGAAAATTCAAAATAATTCATAAGTACCTTACAATTTTTTTATTTTTTAATTTAATTTTTTGTTTTATGATTTCCTTATTTCTATACCAGTAACCTAAAATGAATTAATCAAAAACTCTAGCTATTACAATAATTATGTGTCTTATTAATATACAATATACATAGAAAAGATGACATAATAGCATACGCGTAGGCGCACATATAAATGAGTAAATTAAAAAAAATGCGTTCAAAAACGAATAATAATTCATATAAACGGAAATTGGGTTCGAATTAAAAAGGCATCGATGAATATTCTTGAATTTACCCGTTGACTTTTTACCACCCAATCAAAAATGAATATTAATACTGTCAATTTATTTTAATAATGAAATTTTAATTATAAAGCAAAATTATTGAGGTTAGTACGGAATTTATAGTTAAACGAAGTGTTTAACATTAAAATATTTGCACAAGTCTCTTTATATATAATAATTAATAAAATATTATTATGAAATAAATAAATAATAAAATAAAATAAATTTAAAATGTTTTTTCATTATAGTATATATATAAAATATTAATTATTAATATAAATATTTAAATTATATTTTGTATTAATAATTAAATTAAATAATATAAATGTTAATCCTCTTAAATTAAATTAAATAACATGAGTTTTAAAATTTTAATTATTATATGAACATTAATTGTACGAATTTTTAATAATTAATTAAATATATTAATTATTATATGAATTAATTATTTAATTTGCAATAAAATATATTGCACATATGTTTTTAGGGTTAATAAATTTTCAGAAACATTCAAATGAATTTTGATACATTTTTAGGTAATGCGATCTAAGATTCCGGAAGTCAAAATTAAAAATGATTTGGATAAATAAGGATAATAATCAGAATATAGTTTTTTATTAAATAATATACACATATATTATTTTATTATTTAAATAAAATATTATTAAATTTTATTTAAGTTCAAATATTAAATTGTCTTTATAACTATTTAACTATTGAATAATAACCATTATCGTAGTGCTATTAGTGACGTCGTTGATTTTAATTTTTCAAAAATCTGTTGCAACCTTATATTTATATATTTTGTTACCATGATAATGTATTTTTTACATTATCGTAACAATTTACATTTTTTATTTTTGATTTTCTTCTAATATTAATTTTTTTTTTTTTTAATTTTTGTATAAGGTTCCTCCCCGGTATATATCATTATATATTGAAAAAGGTTATACTTTTTTTTTTTTTCAATATTTGGTCATAAACTGAAACCATACAAAAATAAAATATTATTTTTTTATTTTTCCTCCACATTGTGAAGGTTAATACCAAATAGTATTTTTGTATGTACATCTGTATATGATGTGAATATTGTTTTTAGAATAAATAATGCAAAATATAATATTAAAATATATTAAAATTTTTATGTTTAACTCTTTTGTTTGTGAATTTTTTTTTTGTACTTTGAAAATTATTTAATATATATTATTTTTATTTTTTTTTTTTTTTGAAATCAATAAATATTATAATTTTAAGATTCTCTTTTCTTAATATATTATATTTATATTCATAATATTCATTTCATATTTAATTTAATTAAAAAACAAGAGTATAAAAGCAAGTCCAAACTTTGATACCTAACAATTCGTGCCTCAGGCAAAGGGAGGTCACGTAGATTCTAAAACTTATAAGTAAAAAAAAAAAAAAAAACAAAGCCAAAAAAAAAATTTAAATTTTAAAAAAATTTAAATTAAAAAGTGTGATATTATTAAAAACTTCTTTAATATACATATATATTTTGTGTGCAATATATAGGAAAATAATTATAATTATTTACTATGGAAAGGTAATATTAAAATTAAATAGTGCAATAGTATAGTGTTATAACAAAAGAATAAAAACAAAAAAAATGGATTAATAACACACAATTAAATTTTAAAATTATTTTTGTAAATAGTTTTGCGATGGAATCTATGTTAGGGCCCCAGTTTGCCGCACAAGTTGCCAACGGTACTGTTGTCGATAAAGTATGTTAATAAAATAATTAATATAACAATTACATATACATATATAATATAATAGTGGCAGTAGGGCTTATTAATCACATTTTTAATTGATATTAAAAATTTTTATATATAAAAATAAAATATTAAATATAATTTAATTTAAAATATATATTGTGACAAATTGCTTATTGATAATAAAATTATTAAATGTTACAATTCATGTTTTGGGATCTTAAAGATTATTGACGAATAATTAAAAAGTTTTGATTAATTAGAATAAGGATAAATAAATGAACGATTTAATAAATATATTTATCTATATACAAAATAATAATGTATTATGTATATACTTAAATAAGTACATATATATATCTACATGCAAAAATAAATACAGAATTGCTCTAATTGCCTTAATGCCACAATAACATTGCAGTATTTATAATATACAAATTCAATGTTTTAGCAGTAAATAGCTAATATTTTAATTTTTTTAAGTATTATAAAAAAATTTTTAATTAAAAATCAAAAAAATATTTAGTTAGTTGGAAATTATTTTCATTTGATAATTAATATTGAACTAATATACTTAGGTAACCCCTGATATGAAACATTTAGTACATCCTTATTGGAATCAATATCCACCAATGGATCCAATTTGGGCGAAACTTTTAGGTGCCTTTATAGCTTTTCTATGCATTTTATCATTTTGCGGTAATGGTGTCGTAGTTTATGTATTCTCCACAACCAAATCACTTAGGACCCCAGCAAATTTACTAATTTTGAATTTAGCATTTTCTGGTAAAATGAAAAAAATTAGCGATTAATTTCTTAATATGAAAATATTAATTATTTTAAGATTTCTGCATGATGCTTACGAATGGACCAATGATGGCTATAAATCTCTTTTTTGAGACTTGGGTACTTGGTCCACTAATGTGCGATATATATTCAGCTTGTGGTAGTTTATTTGGTTGTGGTTCTATTTGGTCAATGACAATGGTTGCATTTGATCGATATAATGTAATTGTGAAAGGTATTAATGGTACACCAATGACTATTAAAATGGCCGTAATTAAAATTCTTGGTATCTGGACAATTGGGGTATTTTGGACACTTGGACCGCTTCTTGGATGGAGCAGGTAAATTTAAGTTTTTGAAAAAAAATATGGGAAGAGTAAAAAAAAATATACTTACATTTTTTAAATATATAGAAATGTACCAGAAGGCAACATGACTTCATGCGGAATTGATTATTTATCAAGAGATTGGAATCCAAGATCATATTTGATTTTCTATGGCCTCTTCGCATACTATTTACCATTGTTCCTTATTTGCTACTCTTATTGGTTCATCATTGCGGTATAACCAGACGGAAAATTTCAAGGAAAATCTACTTAATAAATTTATTTTCTATACTTTATAGGCTGTAGCAGCTCACGAAAAAGCAATGCGGGAACAAGCCAAGAAAATGAATGTAAAATCTCTCCGATCATCAGATGATGCTGACAAATCTGCTGAGGGAAAATTAGCTAAAGTAGCATTAGTTACAATCAGCTTGTGGTTCATGGCGTGGACACCATACACAATCATCAATTATATGGGACTTTTCAAATACGAAGGTCTTACACCTCTTATTACAATTTGGGGAGCTGTTTTTGCTAAATCAAGCGCTATTTATAATCCCATTGTATACGGTATCAGGTAATTTTCAAAAAATATTTATGTATATTTTACTGCTGCATATTTATGTATACATATGTGTACAATTTATGTAAGATCAATTTTAAATAATACATTACATTTGTAGTCATCCTAAATATCGAATTGCTCTTAAAGAGAAATGTCCATGTTGTGTATTCGGAAAAGTTGAAGATGAAAAGACATCATCAGGCTCTGACGCTCAATCACAAGCGACAACAGAAGGAGGAGAAAGTAAGGCATAAGCTTAAAAATAAGACGAATTGGCTAGTTTTTCTATCTGGATCATGATGTTGGTTTGAAAATTGTTTTGGCCTAAACGTGGCTATGATCTTTACATTTTTTTATTTAAAAATTGAAAATAAGTGGAAAATACCTAAAGGATTAGCAAAAAAAAAAAAAACAAAAAAAAAATAAGACTATGCTTTCTCTTACCTTGAATGCAATAAAGGAAATTTAAAGATTTCATAAAAAAGCAAGAAAAATTTATTTTTACTTGTGATATTTGAATTTTTTATTTATTCCAAGAATCTTGTTCAATGTTAAGTACAACTATGCATGTTAAGTCTATGTGTTCTTTCTTATTTTTAACATAAGGTGTGTACGCTTACGTTTTTTAGCGAAAAGGTTTGGTATATTTTAAAGGTTATAAAAGATAACCTTTTCTTAAGAAAATTATTTTTAATTTAATTTACATTCATGTACATCTCTAGTAAAGGAATGTAGTTATAGGAACGCAAGTACGACGTAATTAAATAACGGATTCTTTAAATTTTCATCATCTTCATACTTCAACTCAATAACCTTATAAAGAATGAGCAATAATTTTTTTCGAATATAATGAAAAATTCTGGAAAAGGACTATTTAAGAGACTTTATCACAATTGAATATGTATAAATAGAAAATTTTTTAAGTCAAAAAAATGTAAGTCCTTACAGTTCTATATCTGCAATGTTTTAACTCGATATTTCTGACCATATCAAATATCTTTGTGGCAGCTTTAATTAGTTAAGAGAAATATCAAAATTAAATCAAAAATTACATTTTTATATTTTATATTAGCTGAACTTTGTCATTTAAAACTAGATCTGATATAAGTTGATAAGGTATAATATGCTGAGATCCCTCCGCTAAATCAACCTCCTCATCATCAGCACCAATTACAACACCCGATACTAAAAGTAAATAATTAAAAAAAATAATAATTTGAAATATGTGGAAAGACATAATAAATACCCGTTGTTTTAGCCTTAAGAAAAACGTGACTCATTAAATTAGGTCTAACAGTTTTATCACAATCCGCCGTTGATCTTTGCATATTTGGCATGTATTGCAAAGCTATTCTGTTAAAAAGATTTTGAGTGTTTTCAAATAGTTCTTGTGCAAAAGTTAATTCTCCCTGTGAAAGACGTTTGTTATCTTCAGAACTTTTCTCATCTTCTGATATTATGTAACTTGTATATTTTTCAATTTTCTTCAACCGGCAACGTAAGTATGATGTAATTAAATAACGGATTCTCTCAATTTCCATTCTATGAGCAATGTATCTAAGATCATTTTTATCTAGTTGGACCATATTTTCTTCCATGTGTGAGATTTGGCCCATCATAAGCTCTATTATTTCCTCCTGGATAGGTAAAATGTCAGGTGCAAATTTTTCGTTCAGCCAGGCACATTGTAACTTTTCTAATACCTTAATTTGTATAATTTGTTATTTACGTCTACTTTACTAAGTTTTTTGTTTACCTTTTGAGCAGTTATCAATTCTTCATCGCTTTCGAAGTCTATGATGTCTTCAGACATTTCATTTAATCTAATAAATTTTATTTTCAATCAATATTTACTGAAATAAAGGTGCTTTTTTAATTTTAAGTTTTGATAGTGAAGAAAGTACGTACAAATTTTTGTATGGACGGCTATTTTTATGGTTTTTTGTTATCGTTTGTAAACAATGATTTATGACGTTTGTCAAAGAAAGTCATTTTCCACTTTTGACAATTAAATAACAGCGCTAGCATCGCATTAAAAAAAAAACAACATAAAGTAGTAATGCGTGATTAAGTTAAAAAAATCGATATATATTCGATTAATAATCTGCAGAGTAGAAATATCAATTATCATGACACATAGTCACTGTTACCGCGTTAATATGCAGTTCGAGCGGATTTCGAGCTCATATAAGCTCAAGGTCAAGTGGATCCGATAAAATTATTAGCTTCATTTGAAAATCGAATGAATTTCAATTTATGCGGATTACAAGATTGAAATCGACAAATTAATGTTTAATGCTTGTCACCTAGTCACACTCAATTCGATTTCAAGTAATATTGCTTAAATCTGTACAGTTTATATGCAGATTGAAACTTCCAGTCAAGTACTCGACTAGCCATATAAACGAAGTATATGATGAATTTGCATATTCAAATAATGCTGAAATATGAATTCACAAGCTGAGCGGCTACCAAATTTTTTTCGAGAAGAAAGTCCTATTTCAGATTTAGAGAAGATGAATTGCATAGTTTCGAAGTTATTTAGCTATTATATTCGAAATGTTTTTGTTAAAAATTTTTATAAATATAAATTTAACATAAAACTAGTTATAATTTTGTGATAAATTCTAATTTTATTTATACATTTTTCAAAAACTAGAATTTAGTAGTTAATTATCATTTTCTTCAACGAAATAATGATGATCTAATTTATACGTTATTAAGCTCGAAAAGGTTAAACAACCTATTTGGAAAATACATACATATGTATGTTTATAACCTCATGAACCACTCGATCATGTAAATGGAACTTGTCTTATAAACACAAATTCAAACATAAATATTACACTATCCTGAAACACGTTTATCGATTTGTAGCTTGCGTTTTGTATACAACCAAACGTCATACTTTCGATCATGTGTTCATACAATATTAAAATTGTAACACTTTTTGTCAGAACGGAATATGTAAATAATTATGAATTAAAAACAAACTAAAAAACAGCCGTCATTGATGTACACATGACAACCTGTGTAATAAATTATTAAGTTCAAATATCTTGGAATATAAAAATCTAATCAAAAATATTTAAACTTTAAAAATTTTGGCTCTCACGTTGTGCAATGGCTGAAGAATTCGAGATGATAGTCAAAAGAGTTTTCAACAACTGGACAGGTCTTCGATTGGCTGTAGAAAATGGAATGGGGGGCCGAAATGGTCAAAAAGTAAGTTTGGGGTTATTAATTAGAAAGCAACATGTAAGAAATATTTTTTATAGACAGCAATAGAAATGATGGAATATGTGTATCAGTATTGCATGTTAAATCAAAATCTCGATCCGTATGAATTGGAAGGAATAATTGAAGAAATGCTAGATGAAGAATTTAATACAATTTGTGAAGATAATTCCGTAAAGGGTTGGTTTTGGTTATAAATAGGTTCTAATTGAAAAGTTTTAATTAAAATTTTAATTTTTAGAAATAGCATCAATTTTGTTTGAATGTTTAGGTTTTTACAAATCGCAAAATATTCAAGAATTAAAAAATTCCTTTTTGAAAATGCCATCGAAAGAACAATGGCTGATTCCAAACGCTTCTCTTAGAATTGATGTAACTGATAGTGACAGTGATACGGAATCTGAAATGGAAGTTGATGAGCCTTCACATAGAGAATCAAAAAAAGAAGATTCGTTTGTAGAGCCAGAGGAAGGTTGGACAACGGTCAGAAGGAAAAAGTGATTTCCCTTGCATATGTGATTAGGCATTAGTTTTAAGTTATTAATAATTTTTTTTTTCTGCAAAACTGATGTTTGAAAATAAAACAAAAACTTTCATAAAAATGTAATTTTGTTACCTTTTTTATTTTAATTAATTTTTAAAATTAAACTTCCATTTATGCTTTATTCATTAATAGCTATTCATGAATACAATAGTGTTTACATATTGAAATGCACATATTGAATATTGAATATAGACAAAATGTTGGAAATTTCCTAACATTCAATTTGTTCATAATAGTTTACTGGAAAAACCAAGCTTGCACTTTAAAAAAAAAATTGAAAAATTTATATAAAATATTTTTCAATAAAATAAAATAGTTATTTGTATATAGCGAATATCCAGTTCAATCATATTGAATATTTGTCTCCAAAAAAAAAAAATTTGTGTTTTTCTTATGTCAATTTGTAGATAATGTTGGTCTATTTTTTACTTAATGCTGACTTATTAATTCTTTCAATATATTTTGTTTTTGTTAATGCTGAAGATCCACCGGTAGGATCCATCATCCGATTCCAATCTGTATGACCAACAACAAAACCAATGGCTCTCATTTTGTCCTGAGCTCGCTTTTCTTCAATATCAGCCCACCTGACCTAAAATAATAACCGAAATAAATATGCATAAGTATAATAAAAAGTTTTAATTACAAACCCTTTTCTTATTTTGTGAATTTGAAATTGGAGGTTCCCAACCATCCATTTGAAGATAGTCTTCTAGTGTATCATGTTTGTTCAATTTCTTTTTTATTCCGTCAAGCCGAGCTAAAAAAGTTCATTAAAACTTATAAGATGTATTTTGTTGGTATTAAATTTTACAATTTACCAAGGCGATCTTCGGTTGTATCAGCATCCCATTTACTTTTCATGACATCCTGAAAAAGTGAACTTTTTAGTATAAAATTTTTTAGAAATATTTTAGTTCGATGGCAATTAATATTCTCTACATCTTGAAAATAACAAAAAAATTTTTAACTTAAGTCCAGTAACGAATATTCAAAATGGCGTTAGTAAAAAAGAAATCTTTTATGTTATCGAAACTAATGAATTTTTTATCAATTTTTTATTTGAGTTTTATTTATAAATATTACCTTAAAATTGTCTTCGTAACTTAATTCATCTTCATTTTCGTTGTCACTCTTATTGTTATTAATTGCTGATTGATGGGAATTTTCATCTGACTCCTAAAAATAAAATAAAAATTTTTTATATACTTTTGTCTAATTTTTTTTTTAATTTCTAATTGATAATTAAAAAACAATAATTATATTCATTTAAAATTTAAAAAAGATTTGATAAACATTGAGTAATAATTAAATGTTATTCGTCAGATAACTAATTGAAATTTTATAAGTTTATAAGTACAGAGAAATTTTTAATTGGGTTTCCATAGTAGAAAAAGTTGAAATTAAATAATAAAACACTAAAATTATAATAATATTATGTATTTTAGTGCATCCAAAATGAGTTTCAGAAATTTTTCAAATATATTGTCCAAAATAAAATCCAAAAATGAATCTTTATATACTTTGATTAACCACACACCAGATAATTTAGAATTCACCTTTAATAGAATTATAATCTTTTCTTTTACATGATTTGGCTAATATCGCTTGTCATTAAAATTTATGTAGATTTCAGAAAGTTTGTCGAAATCTCGGCATATAAACAGGGGGAAAAAGGTATATAAAAGTTTTCATTTACATAGTCAGTAAATTTTTTTTTTTCCTTTCACAGAAAAATTTATGTTGAAAACAATAATTGAGACCAAAAATTTGATTAGAAAAACCAGATCAATATTTCAATTAGAAAAACTTAAAGCATATTTTATTTCTTAATATAAGAGTATAATAATATTAAGAAATTTAAATATGCAATTTATGTATACTATATGGTACTCCTAAATCAAAAATCTTTTATCAAGTAAAATTTGAAACAATAAAGTTGGTTGAACAAATTTTCGAAATGCAGAAAGATCAGAAAAAATTATAATATCTGATACTTAATTTCCTGAAATTTAAATTATCCTATAGAAATATTTGCATTAAAGTATAATATAAAAATATATGAATATATATTATGTATGTCAGTTTAAATTTTAAATTTCAAATATAATTATGTATTTGTCTCCATAAAAAATTTAAATAATAAGTTCAAAAAATAAGGGACTAATAATATAGTTAATAAGTTTTATATAGTTATTAATTTTTAATCCTCTACTTTTTAAAGCGGATATCTATAAAAAAAAAAAAAGAAAAATAAGTTATGGAAAATTTAAAGCTGCAAACTGATTTTTTGAATTTAAAACCTGTAAATTTACAACCTATAAAATTAAATAATAAATATAAAAATATTAAAAAATTTATTAATGCTAGAAAAACAAAAAAAAAAAAAAAACAGGAAATAAAAATTATTTAATAATGATTGCTTACGGGCTCAGTTATATTATCAAAAGCATCTTCCATTTCTACTTCCTGTATATCAACAACTTCTTCAATTAAACTCTTAACATCGAGTTTAATATAATGTTCAGGAGTTTCTTTCCATGTATCAATCATATCTTTAATTTCATCACGATCTCTATCATGTATGTTATTTTTTAAACATTTTTCGATGTCACATATCAAATCGATGGTATATGGCTAAAATATTAAAATATAGTATTAGTTTTTTTCTTTAATGTAATTTAAGAAAATCAATTTTGTTTTTTTGAATAATTATGTTGCATATCGCTCTTACTTATAATTTATAGAAATATCTTATAAACAATGTTTTAATATTTACACATATTTGAAATATAATTTGTACAGACAAATAATAAAAAAGTTATTCATTTAATTTATTAAGTTTTCATTTTACTCAAAATTTATATTTATAAAATTATACTCGATTTTTACAAAATTATTGAATTTTATTTTGTTAATTAAATGTTAAATTAAAAAAAATTTTTTTTTTTAAAATTAAAAACTTTTTCAAAGTTCTTAAAAATAAACTACAAATTACTTTTTTAACTTTAGTCTAGATGCGCAAAACAAAACAACAAAAAATTTAATATTCTTAGTATTCTCTTAATAGTCTAGTTAACCAAAAATAATATAAATAAAATTACCAATTACGAAATAAATGTTGTATATAAAATAAATACAACTTTAATTAATAAAATTATAAAAAAAAAAATCTTACCGTAAATCCTTCAGCTTTTGCTATATTATAAAATTCAGTGAATGTTCTTAAGGAATGGTTATGACAGTCAACAATTACAAAATTAAACAAACCTTCAGAAAGAGTTTTTTTGTAAGATTTTAATAAAAATTCAATATATTTAGCTTCCATTTCTTTATCAAATTCATATACTAATTCTTGTTTAATTATCTGAAAAACAGAAAATAAAAATTAGTATATTTATTTAGCATATAATTAAAAAAAAATTTTATAAATTATTGTATTTACCTTTCTTTTTGTTTTTGGACAACGTTCTTCCTTGTCAACTTCATTCATAAAATAATCATCAATACTTAATATTCTAGGTTGTGAACCTTTCATTTCAATTTCTTTTTCTTTTATTAATTTAGCTAAATATGATTTACCACTACCCGGTGGTCCCCGTAGAATTATAACAATTTTTTTTGGACGAGAATCTCGACTTGGTTTTAAAAGAATCTCATCAATAGTAATTGTATTATGATTTTCCATTGATGGAAATATTAACTGTTTCACATTATTATTATTATTAATATTTTGATTATTTTCTGATGTAGATATTGACGATGATAAAGTTGGACAAGATATATTTGAATAAGAATTTATTAAATTTTGAAAACTGTCATTTTTAATATTATGATTATAAGAATATACTGGTTTATTCACTGAAGGAGAAAATATTTCCAATACATTTGTTGATATTAATGGTGGAGGAGGAGGAGGTATCATATTTAATATGTTATTCTCATTATTGCTTTTATTAGATTCCTTTAATGTTGTTATGGTATCAAGATATGTGGAAAAGGAAGTGGTATTTTTTATATTATTTAATTCTTTAATACCAACATTATTAGTACCGGTAGCAACATTTTTTGATTCATTAGAATAGTTTCTATATATGAATAATATAATATAATAATATAATAAAAGAAAAACTGTTATATTAGATAGAATTTTGTTTTAAAGATACATATATACATATATATATATATATATATATATATAAATTTAATAGCATTTAAATGATTTATCTTCTATATGAATTTGGTTTCTTTTGAAAATTCCATTTAGCTCTTACATTCTTAGATGTAATAAAAAAAATTTTAATTTTTTTTCAAATCTTAATTAGTTCATTTTTTTTTAGTTATAATATATTACAATTTTTTTTTTCTTGTAGAATATTTTAACGTAACATAAAATAGAAATCTTATACTTAAGTTTTAAAAATAAACAATAATGGTCAATATAACTTTTTGGTTAGCATTAATAAATATACACATCGTTGCTAAGCTATACATATATACATATTATGTATTTATTTACATATTTTCAAAACGTGATTACAATGTATGGGGCTGAAATTTCTGAAATAGTAATTTCTATGTTTAGGCAAAAACAACTCTTGTGTACGCCTACATATAATGTATTCCCGAATGTAGTTTAGATTATTAAATCAAACTACCACAAACTATGTGTTTTATTTTATGTACGTCACTTCAAATAAAAATTTTTATTTTGAATAATTTACGAGTATCTATGGCATTAAACACGTCCACAATATAGAATGAATGAATATTGTATAACTTACACAATTTAACAAAAAAAAAATAAATATGATTACAGAAATAATCAAATTACATTTTTTTTTCTGTATATTTTAATTTGTATATAGTAATTTTACCAACATATTTGAATATAATTATGTATTTGGACAAATCAAAATATTTAATTAAAAACTTATTAAGTGTCTTCAAATTTTAACTTCATAAGAATAAAGCAAATTTTAAATACACACAAAATGCTTATGATATAACATGAAAATTAAATAAATTGCGGGTTGTAAATGTTGAAATTTAAGGTTATTTGATGAAATAACCATATTATTGAATAATATCCCTTAAATTATTTTTTTAACTCCATTAGATTATTAGTATAACCCTCATAATTTTATTTTCCAAGACAATTCAAAATTTATATAGAACAAAAATAATTTTGCTTTTAATATTTATGTACATGGAGAGTCATCACTAAGTTTAGTAAACTTGATAGAATTTATTTTTTAAATAAGAAGGATTGAAGATATAAAATAAAATAACCAAATAATTGTATATCTTATCGATTGCTTTTTCAGGGCGAGTTGTCCCTTGCCGTTAATACGAACACACGAATTTGTCATCTAATTGTGTTAAGTACTTATATCAGTTTGTTTTTGATTGTTGTATAACATAATATAATACATGACATTCTCATATATCTTTTCGATTTCTAACAAAGATATGTTAGGTTACATACGGACTTGCAACGTGGCATGGCAAACATTCGATTTTGAGAGTTATCCGATAATTAATGTCCTCAATATTTTACTTTTACAATAATCAAAACACATTTACAGATTTAAATATTGTTAACTTTAAGAATGCTTTAGAACTTTAAGCATAGTTGCAATTTTCAAATGTGCTATTGTTATTACAAAGACGTATCGAATATTAGTCACTGCATTGTGGTTTATCGAGTGTGCTTTAAGATGTAAGTTAAGAATTGATTTATCGAAAGGTTTTTCTCAAGTTTACAAAATTATGCAGCATAAGTTACAAATTTAGAAACTTACGAAGCATAAATTCACTACAATATTAAAATGAAAGGTTAATTTTGGTTTTTGGGAAAAAATTTGGCCGCAGTAGTGCATACGGTTAATGCATATCGATTTTAAGTGAATAATCAGAATCAGACGATGTAAGGCTTTCATTGTTTTTAATCAAACTATAAAGTCTAGTCAAACATTCAAATAATTAGATTAAAATAAGAATTGATATTTTGGAACAGGTATAAATTTATTGCATTTTTTTACATTGTGATTTATAATAATCGCATATTAACTGCTTCAAATATGACTATTAAAAAATAAAGTATTATTAGTAACTTTAAATAAATTTTGTACGAAAATAAAAGAATAAATTTGAAAAAAAAAAATTTTTTTTATTCAAATTTTCAGTTGAAGTTTTTTCTTGTGGCATTTTTGAATTAGTTTCCTAAAATAAAACAAGAATTTTAAATATGAAATAATAATAAAAAAGAAAAACAAGGCAATTCATTTTAGTTACATATTTATTTTTCATTTTCAAAACGATTTTTAAATATTGCAACTTCTAATAGCTTTTAATTTTTTTTTCAAATCTTGCAATTGAATAAAATTTCGTGTAAATACTATGTAAAACGCAAAAGTTTGCTTTTAATAATAAACAAAAAACACTTTTTAATAAGTAATATTCAAAATTTACGGATCTTTGTTCTTAGTTTTTTTACGTGTTTTCATTATTTATTTTATTAGATTAATTAATACAAGTTTTCTTTCAAGTTTAATTTTATTAATATTATATTTTTCCTTTCAGCTAAATATTTTCCATAAAACAACAGTAATTATAAGAATTATTATTTTTAATTAATTAATAATTGAACTAAGAATTCAAAATTCAAAATAATTAATATTTTGAATAATTTTAAAGGATTAGATTTTCCCTAAATTTTGCACACGTGAAAATATTATTTGATACTATTTTGTGGTTTAATAACATCCTTATATATCTATAAATTTTTTATATATTTTTAAACATAATAAAATTTTTAAATCCAAGAACAATTAAGAAAAATCATTTACGCGGTCAGCTGCATATTTGAACGTAAGAAGAGGTTTAAGATTTTAGTGAATTGCGAATTAAGTTATTTGAAAAAAATGTATTATAAAATAAATTTAATTATATGATATTACAAAAAGAGATCAGGAATTCTTTTTCTGGGAACGATGTATGTAACAAATTTCAACGAACGAATTAACTAAATTTTGTGATGTCTAACACGAGTAGCAGATATTTAAAAGTAAAAGTAAAATAAAATATCTAGTCTAATTCAAATATACAGCAGGAAGGAATAAAAAAAATTAAAATAACTAGATTATCAATATTTCGATTCATTAAATTAAGGAATAAAAATATGTACTAAGTGGTTGTGTAGATTTCTTTTTCTTTTTTTTCTTAAATCACTTACTTTAATAAAAAATTTTTAATGCAAGAGCAATGGAATTTTCTAGTTTTTAAACATTTAAATATACACATGTGTTTGTATATTTGCATAGGTTTCAAGAAGTTTAAAAAATATGTTTTTTTGTTCCTTTGCATAGTATTAATTTAAAATACATATATTGAAACAAATAATAATTAATAATGCAAATTTAAAAAATTCTCATTTTTAAATATAGATTTTATGTTTTCTTATATAAAATCATTACAATAATAATTGTATTTTCAACTACAATTTGATTATAAAAAAAAAATAATAAATTCAAAAAATTTTTTAAAGAAAAAAGTAGAACTTACTCGTCGTCATCATCAGATGAAATTTCGTCAACATCAATATTTGAATTTTTATCAATTAGTTTATTATTATTATTAAAATTATTAAATTTATTTTTAAAATCAGTATTTTTGAATTGATACTGAGCATTGTTATCGTCTAAATTTTTTTTATTTGTTAAGGTTCTTTGACAAAAATTCAAATTAATATTTCCCTGGCTGTTTGTGGACAGTATATGACCAAACATTTGTGATGATTCAGGTTTGTTCAAATTAAAGCCTGAATCCTTATTTACTGGAGGTTTATAATCTTCAACCTTAAAATTAAATTTATTTACTTATTTTTTTTAACTTTTTTTTTTCTTTTTTGTTTTAATTAAAAAAAGAAGTTTTTTTTTTTCATTAATTACAAGTATTTAAATATCAAACTTAAATTATAGTTAAATTAAATTTTATATGATTCATTTAGTATTTGAAATGAGAAAAAAATAGTTTTTTTTTTAGTTTACTTTTTTTTCTTTTCCGATACCCGCTGCACCACCCATCGTTTTACTTGCAAGAAAATCTCCGAATCCCCCACCAAATGAAGGTGCAGCTGGCTTCTCTATTTTCTCTGGCTTTTTCTCTTCTGGTTGGCTATCTCCTTTAAACATTGTTGACGCATGACCATAATCAATTGTTTTCATTGGGAAATAGTCTTCATTTGGCTTAGAGGTTTCCTTTTGATTATTGCCAGTCTTTTTATGACCATAATCTACTACTTTTGCAAGTGGAAATATATCTTCAGGTTTATCGTTAGATTTTAATGATTTATTTTGATAATCAATAACTTGAGTAGGTTTAAAATAATCATCAGGTTCTGATTGATTTTTATTACTTCCAAATATGCTATTATTGTTAGCGTTTTCACCTCTCCTAAATGGATTGAAAGCCGGGGTAGACGTTCTATCATTTGTGTCAAATGGATTTTCACCTTTTTTATCATCGAAACGGTTATTTCGGTTATTTGATCTTGATCTATTACTTCGGTTACGGTTATTTCGTTTATTACTGTTGCTTCTATCGTTTCGATTATCTCTACCTCTGTTCCTATCTCCTCTACCTCTATCTCTATCCCTTTCTCTTCCTCTATTATTTTGACCTTGACTACGGTCCATATCATCATTTGAGTCTTGCATATTATCTTTGCTTTGATCACGATTTTGGTTTTGATCATTATCGCGCTTAAAGGGATTGAAACCACGATTATTTTCATTATCTCTTCTAAAATTGTCATTGTTTTCATTATCGTCGTATCTTTGACCACCAAAGCCGCCACCACGATTTCTTTCATTAAAATTGGAAAAATTGGAGCCTCGGTTATCATTTCTGTTGATAATCAATGGAACAAATAAAATTTAAAGGATAAAATTAGACGCGTAATTTTCAACCTGGGGTTGTTGTTTTGGATTTATTTTCTTGTCAGCGTTATGTAGCAATAATTTTAATGCCAACTTTGTTTATTACGACATTATATAGAAATGGGTCAAGTTAGTTATTGAGAAAAATAAATTATTCAAGCTATTTCAATTTTATACTTTTAAACTAAATTTCGGGATTTTTAATTCCACATAGCAAAATTTATTTTTCCTAATATTTTTTCATTACACTTCGTTAAACTGCTAAACATTAATCGTAATTTTTCAGATTTTGTATTTTCAAACTACATACTTCTTTGGTTAAAAACCTAATCTTATGAAGGTACGCAGAAATCCCAAAATTTAATTATCAATCTCATCATAATTAATGATTGTAGAGCCGTTATAATGATGAAAATGAATCCAATTGGTGTTTTGATGTTTAATTTAGGATAGAAAGTAAAAAATTAATTATGTGTGGTTTAAAGAAATATTCCAAAAAATATAAGATATTGCATAAAGTGAAGACGAAGTTTCTGTTCTGCTTTTTGTAAAAAGTTACGTTATAAAAATAATAAAACATATAACTTTTTTTGGGCGGGAATTGATCAGAGATTGCAAGTAATTGCAAATCTTGCTAGTATTTTATTTCTTAGTTATTGTTTGCCGGGCAGTTTTTAAACAAAAAAAAATTTTTTTGAAGAAAAATTATCTTATGGAAAATAAGTTTGTAGCGCTACTACCAATCATTTATTTACTGTATATGTTATACTAGTGTAAATAATTTAAATAACCAAGAGTTAAATTAACTTTTTCTTTAGTAAATAAAATTTAGTAAAATTTTATTCATTCTTTTATTGTCATTCGCCTGTATTTTTAATTTTAGGATTTTTTATTATAGATATTGCAGACATATGGTATATGTTTTGCTTTGTAGCCTTCTTTTACTCAAAATTAAAATTAAATATAAACTTTGTTATTTAATATTTTATGTAAAAATGAGAAATCTCTATCTGTTCTATCGAGCTATTGATCGAAATGTGGTAAGACTCCACAGTTTTAAGGATATTGTTGGTTCTCTTTTATTTTAATGTTTACAAGCGGGAATGGTAACACATTGCGAGTAAGCAAATTTGTTTTTTTTATCTTACAATTGCAACATGTAAATATTTTGAGACAAATTTTGTTGGTAACAATGATAGGTAAATTTGAATTTAATTTTATAAAATAAAAAGAAGAGGGTAGTCCATTGGAGATTGCATTTAGGAACAAAAAATTTCCGATCACATATTTTGGAATTCATAATTTATTTAGTTTATTTCCAAAATAAATTTGCAAACAATTATATCTTAAAATCTGGAGATAGCACAATCAGACTAAAGGCCATTTCTCTCAGTTTCCATGTTTTATATTGGGTTCATAACATACGTTCATATGTGAATAAATCCGACAAGTTTGTTTCTGCAAAGTTAATATGTAAGTTAAGGAATTTTTTCGGTTTATATTTCAAAATCTTTATTTTCAATTTTTTTTTCCTGGTTGGGTAATTACTTTTTCTTCTATTCTCTTTATTTGGGAAAGCTTTTTAAGACAGGGTATATAATATATATGATTATATAATCTTCAGCCTATTAAATGAATTTGATATAGTTAAAAATGCTACAATTTCCCCATTTCTATAAAATTTTTCAGTAAAATTTTGCTGTTAAATTGTTAAAATAAAACATTATAATTAGAAATATTGTAAAATTAATCCTACCTTTCATAATTTTTCCAAGACATAGGACCGTCATTAAATCTATCATCATATCTGTCATCAAATCTATCATCGAATCTGTTACGTTGATTCATATTATTCGCATATTCGTTTCCAAATCTTGGGTAGTTTGAGTCCGATCTATTCATCCAATCTGTTCTCCTATCTTGATCGTCCCAAATATTCGGTTGAAAGTTTCGTTCATTATCAAACTTTCTTAAAGGACTATTAAAATCGCTATTACATGTATTACCACGATCATTATTGAAAGCATTGTTTGTTGATTTGGCATCATTACTATCAAATTGGTTGCCTTTTAATGCGGAACTTAAAATAGCTAAAACTCCTGGATCTTGTAGAGCTTTTGTTATATTTTCTGGAAGAGGACAACTAGAGAGATCTAAAGTCTTCTGGCCAGTGTTTTCTGCTGTTTTATTAACAGTGTTTTCAATACCACCCAAACCACTTTGATTCGAGACATCATCTTCAAAAGTTTTTCTAGGGGGAGAGAATTCTGGTTTTTCAATTTTTGTGTCAAAAAGAGATGGAATTTTTTTAGGTTGAGATGTATTTAGAATGGTTTGTTTGCTTTGTTGCATCCATATATTATCATTTTTTGAACTATTAATGATTGTGTCATTGCTTTCTCGATTCTGTTTTTTAACTGGAGATCCTTCACCGACCTGTTTATCAAGATCGATAACTTCCGCTACTTCTTCCCCATCATTTTTCTTAACATCTTCGTGAACCAAATCTAAACCGGGTATACCTTCAGCTGAATTGGTCGAAGTTAAAAAGTGTTGTGAATCAGATTTTTCTTCAGATTCATCATTTTTTTCAAAACTTCCTCCTCTTTCATCTTGATCGCAAACCTTTTCACTTAAATCCTCCTTCTTTTCTTCTTCTAATTTAGGCTCATTAAGGGGAATAGTTGCTTTTTGTGGAATTGACGTCTCAGTTTCATTTTGATGTTTTGTTAAATTTTCATCTTGTTGGTTAGGTATACTCTGAGTCTGTGGCATATTTCTCTGCATTTGCTCTAATTTTCTTTTTCGCATTTGCTCTCTTCTTTCAATCAATTTTCTTCTACAATCTTCGAACTTCATTTCATATTCCCTGTAAGCTTTTCTGTCAGGGTGATTGACATTTGCTCTTTTCCAATTTTCAAACTCTTCTTCCCACTTCTTAAATTGTTCATCAAACAATATTTCTTCTCTTGATTTTTCATTATTATTGGTGTTATCTGTTTGGATGCGTTCATCTGAATACTTGTTATCAAACATTCTATTTGAATTTTTATTTTCGTAATTTCTACCGTAAGACATCTGGCTCGAAACATTAAAGTTATCATGCGCTTCTTTTTGTGAGATTTTTTCATTTCTTCTATCATAAGATTGATTACTTTTGTTAGATTGGTTATTATTACCATAATTATTTATATTTGCGCTGCTCTTATTGAAATTATCTTTTTCAAAATATTGATTTACTTTGTTATTATTTTGATTTCCGTGCAAGTTTCCAGATTCATTCAATTTTGGCTGAATAGATTGCAATGATTGTGTAGCAATTGCATTATCCTGAGGGGGTGGTGGAGGTCTGCTAATGTTTTGAACAAATTTTTGTGAATCTTGATCCGGCGGAGGAGGTGGCACACTTAAAAACGATGCAGTTGAATTTTGTGGTGGTGGATAGTTTTGACTAAATCCAGCAATAGCAGATGGTAAGGGTTGCGGCGGAGCAGCAGGAGGTGGAGCTTGAGTCTGTGAAACTCCACCAGAATAAGGAAGTTGAGGAGCTGTTGAACCTAGCTTGGCTTGCATCTCTCGTTGATACTGCAATCAGGAGCTTCTTCAGCAAAGAAAACAGACAAAAAAAGTAAAATTATTACCTGTTCACCATACTGGGCATGCCATTGAGCATATTGCTGTTGATAAGCTTGCCATTGTTGCCAATTTTGCTGAATGGCATATTGCTGTTCCGGGGTCATAGCAGCATAATTAAATGACGGATTTGCAGGAGGAACTGCAGGAATAGTCGGGGGAGCTGCAGTAGCACTATATGTAGGTACTGGTCCAAGAGGATTAGGAGGCTGCATTGCAGTTGAATGGCCAGTAGCACTCACTGTTGGCATAGACGAAGTTGTAGCCCACTGATTCCATGACATTTTTACTAATTATTTAATTTTCAATAGTAACAATCAATAAAGTATAATGGCTGCCGCCATTAATTTTATAGAAAATCTTAATTAATAATATTTCGTTAATGCTACCAAAATTTAAAATTATATTTTAACTTTTCGGTTTAAATAACGCGAAGAAGTTTAACAGAATTAAATTTAAATGTGAATAATTTGTTAAACTTTCTTTGAAAATTTTTTTCTTAATTTACCTAACGCCGATAAAATTACTTTTAGCAAGAAAACTGAAAAGTACTCATAAATGTTGCCAGATTAAGTAAAATGTCAACTATATATTAATGGCTGTGGTTGTCAAAAAATTTATTTGGGAATGTCGTTACACGGGTCCATAATGTGGAACGAAATTTTAATTGCTTGAAAAAGTTGTTTTGGAATTGACTATTGCAAAAATATCCACTTAATGCTTTTAATATGTATGTGTACAAATTAAAGTATATAAGTACAGTGATTTCACGTATTTTACAGATACAAAAAAAAACGTCTACACCTAAACTAAAATAGTTTCTAAAAAAGTATGGTAAATGCACTTTATGGTTTATGATAGTTTGTTTTTCGAAACGGTTGTTTTATGACTTTAATTTATCTACGCATATATAATAAAAATAAATTAATATTAAATCTAATGGTTTTTTGATCAAGATAAAATTCGTGATCAATTCTTGATCAATTGACAAAAGTTTTTGGAAAAGTGTTTAAAATTTCATAATTCAATGTTTTGAAGGACTTTTTTAAATTTTATTTTGGCGTCTATTTCTTCAAGTTTTTACAATATTATTTTAAATGGATATATTTAATATTTATTGTATAATAATTTATAGAGTGTATAAAAATATGATATTGTGTATAAGGAAATTACATATCTAGAAAATAACTCAAAATATTATGTTTGAATGCACAAATTAATGTTTTTTTTTCAACTATTGAAATAAAATTTATTACAGCATCTTTTCAAAATTCCTTTACAAAATTATTCAAAATTTAAATACTCGTCGTCAGTAGTTAACTACATCACAAAGAAATTTGACGTGTCAACTGGTTTTAATTTGAAAATTTTTTTGGATTGTCAGTCTAGGTTCATGCATCTATCATAGATGCGTTTATAATAAATAATATGCCCATACATTCTTTTTTTTAAAGTTTGGCAATCACTGAAATTTAACTAAATGTCACTTTGACAACGTAATTCGACATTGTTTACATAATATATTTTTGTATCCTCATTTTATCGCACTGCAGTTATGGCTTATATGTAGAATTTCCAAATTATAAAGTTTGTAAAATTGAACTAATATTACATACGTATCTAATTTTTTAGTTTTATTTTAAAGATTTGACAAAATTTAATTGCAAAATAAGAGTAAACTTTATTAAATTCAGAAATGTATTTTATAATTAAGCAGTTGGGAAGAAAATCTCATTGAACTTCATACATATTATTCACATTGACTCATGTACATAGGTGCCTACATACAACATAGGGTACATACATAAGTATATTTCGGTATTTGATCGTGTTTTACTAGTAATCTAAATAAACTGAAATGAAAAAGTTTTATTGAAGTCTAACAATAAATATAAGAATTCACTTATTACCCTAATTTTTTAAGGAAAAAAGTTAAAATTAAGTAATTTTAAAACTTAATTTTTTTCTTAAGGCATTAATAGAAAGGTTAAACTTTATATTAGAATTAAAATAAATATGTAATAGACAATTCAATATATTTAGTATGTATTTTCAGATCCAGTAGTGCTTTTTTAAAATTTTTGTGTGCACCTTTTGAATTTTGATTTTGCAAGACATTGATTTATTCCTAAAGAAGATAATGCAAAAATAGGTCTTTTAAGACTTTCATTTTTAGAACAAATTTATCCGAATACAAGTAAGATGCTTTTTTTAAGTTTTGTAAGTGTTGTTCTTGAAATACTCATACTCGATATTACACTCAACGATCTTAACACTTGTAAGAGCCTATATTATATGTACATACCTATCCATATCGATATTTTCCATATAAACATTACATGTACATATTTAAAAATAAATAAAACTTTTGGTAATTTAAAAAAGAAATGTTACTTATGCTCTTCTACGCAACATATTTCGTGCAATACAAACGCTCTTCATCAATGCTTATTTTCTTATGAAATATGTTCAATACATATTACTCAATACAATAATAGATGCATTAAAACAGAAATAAATTATCTTTTTTGAATTAAAAATTGTTTTCTGTATTTTTAAATACATTTTGAAAAAATTTGTTAAAAAATTTGTAATAAAAATTAAAGCTTTTAACCTATGTGTATCCTAATACGTATAAAAATTTACATATCTGAAGCTTATCAAATAAATGACGGACAAATTAATTATCCTTCCGATTGCATAGCTTGCTTCTATAAAATAAACACGGGCAATAGTGGATTTACATACATATATAAGTAGGTCCAAAATTTATAAGTAATTGGATCTGATTGAAACGCTAATGTTAAGAGCTTCACCAAATAAAAAAAATTCTCCGAAAAAATGCTTGATCATGATATTCGACGACGATTTTCACTGTTGCCTTCGGATATTGGTAAAATCTAACGATTTTCACTGTTGCCTTCGGATATTGGCAAAATCTAACGATTTTCACCGTTGCCTTCGAATATTGGCTTTTTATCATATAGTGTACTTTTAATTACATTTTGTTTAATATTTCAAATTATTCAAGTTGTACCTATACAATTAAATTTTTTGGCCTATTACAGTTTGTAGCAATTGTGTGATATTTGCTGTTCTTATACAACAATAATAATAATAAATAAAAATAATTATTTGATTGTAGTGAAAAGAGAATATTTTTGTGAGTAACGAATACAAAGAGTTCATGAAGCATATAAATACGTTTATACACAAGATTTTTCTGAGAAAATCTTCATATTTTTTCAAAAAGAAAATTTTGTACAACCAACATTATTAAAAAATTTTATATTCATTACTTAAAATTTGAAAAAAAAAAATAAAAACACAATGAAGAATAATAAAAATTGAAACAAACACCCACGCATGAAAATGGCCTATGAACATTCGCCAATATAAACATAATACATACTCTTATTTGTACATACAATCACTTTGTTTTTACTATGAAAAATTTTTCTTTCAAGTTGGTATCATTGTATCTATTTAGTACCAATAATTTTTATTTTGTTAAATTGTTAAGACGTTTTTTAATTTTTTGTTTTATAAATATAAATATAAATTATATTGTATAGTAATTCTTTGTTTTCTTTGTTCGAATATATTCAAAAGAATTCATATTTAATGCGAAGCAATCTCAATTTTAATATATTTTAATAAATGAAATGGCTCACGAAGTTGTTGAAGTAGTTAGACGGTGTGAAGAAGCTAAAGAAACTTTTATATTAGGTAAATAAAAAAAAAAATATTAATTAATATGTAAAAACTAAACGTTTTTTAAATTAATTATTTTTTTTAAATAATTATAAATAATTGGAAATTTAAAAAAAAAAAAAATACCTGAATAATAAAATATAAGTGAAGTGCGTTTAAAAAAATTAATTTAACAATCAAGAAAATTTTGAGACTAAAATGTTTTAAATTTATTATAATTCAATTTGAAATAATTATATACTAAGGTTTTCTATTAATAATAATTCAAGGATTTCGAAAATATGTGTATATGTACATAATAATATTTTTTGAGTGGAAATTCCCTAGAAACATTTTATGTATTCATTCGAAAAATATAATTAATTTCGAGAAAGAAGGGATTAAAAAAAATATTTATAAAAACTTCAATATATGATTGAAAAGTGAATTAAAAGTGAAAAGTATTAAGTGCCATTAATATCAATTCGAAATGGGTTCGAAAATAAGAAATTACAATCAAAAATCAAAGTTCAATGAAAGTACAATCAAAGTTGAAAATGTATAATATATGAGTATTATACGCATATTTCGCAATGAAATTAAGAAAATACTATAAAAAATATTTTATGATCTAGCAAAATGCTTTTTGGGAAATAATCTGATTTAACCTCAATTCCAGATATTTTTTTTTGTCTGAAATACAAAAAAATTAATTCAATATTTCAAATATTTATAATCTAATAATAATGTGTAATTAAAAGGGTTTCTTTTATTTAATATTATTTTATTTCATTATTTATTATTTACCGGGTTGTCATGAGTTTATGCGCATTATTGACAATGACATAGAAAAAAAAAATAAAAATATTTTTCAATGTCGTTTTTCTTTTTCTTCTGAATCTATTTTTATAAAATACTAATAGTTTTTGTTATGTTTTTATTTTAGATCTTTCAAAATGTAAACTCACGCAAGTACCAGATGCTGTTTATCATCTGATGAAAAATACACCACTTATAAAATGTGATCTTAGCGGAAATGTGATAAAAATAATTAGTGCAAAATTTTCGATGAAATTTAATTTACTTGCCGGTAATGTACAATTTTCATATTTTGCACATAAATAGTGTATTATTTTATTAATAGAAATAGAATAAGGATATTAAAGATCAAAATTCATATTTCATTTTATATTGCGGAAAAATTTATTATAATAATGATTTTGTTTTCTTTATTTTAGAAATAAATTTATCAAGGAATGAAATAGCAAGATTACCAGACGAATTGGAAAGTTTAGAATCTTTATCAATATTAAATATATCACATAACTCGTTTATAACGTTTCCAACAGTTGTATTTAAAGTTCCTAAATTAAAAACATTAATAGCTAATGATAATGCAATAGTAGGTAAGCTTTGTCAATATGTAAATCTGTTTAAGAATTTATATTACTGTTCTGTAAGTGGATAGGTATACAATTGTAGAATTGGCTGCTTTTATTTTCCATTTCATATTTTTATTTGTAAATCTTTTAGCTCTGCAAATTACGTTTCAGTTTTACGTTATTCTTCATAGCTCTAAGTAAAGTTCTAAATTTGTTTATCGTTATTTTATTTTTGAAATTGCGTTCTTAATAAGTATAAATTGGGCCATTTATTTAATGGTATAAATAAATTACGATGTCTACAAAATTACGCGTCAATTTAAAATACTATTCTTCCTGGAAAAACACTATAATTTGAAATAAGAATATTTCAATATGTTTATATAAATAATTCGGGAACCATCTAGTTTTTAATTTTGTTTTAAATTTTATTATAAGTTTTATTAGCCATGCATGTTATGTGCTTATAGCATATGTGTATGAAATTTGGGAAGTTTGCCACTCTTGACATTACTTAAACTAATTTTTACATTAAATGAGATTAAATAAATAAATTTAAAATTATTAATATAGAATTAAAAAAAATAAAATCAATTTCAATTACTCATTTCAGAGGTGGATACAGATGAAATAGACATAAACAAAACTTTGGAGTTTATAGATTTAAGAAACAATCCATTTAGCAGGGGTTGCTTGAAAAGATTAAAGAATTGTGCGGATGGTCATCGTATGGTTTTAGTGTCAGAGCACAAAGAGGACGATGATTGGTAGCATAATAAGAATTTATTCATTTTAAATTTAAATATTAATAAGATAAATATTTATTAATTAATATTTTTGTACAGTTTTTAATTTTAATTTTGTATTATTTATTAAAATGTGTAGTTACTCTTTTCTTTTTGATTTTTTTTTTTAAGTTGTGTGTAAAATTTTACTTGATGCTTTAAAAAATATGTTATTAAAAGCATTTGAAATTATTAATTTTTTGTATATGTATTCATAATTTTTATAGAAAGAAAGTGAATATTATATTTTTATGGTCATTTAATATTTCAAAAAAATTGAAATATTAAATAAAATTGAAATATTAATTGACCATAAAAAATATTTTTATGGTCAATTAATATTAAAAAAACAACAAGCAATCTTTATTTTGTATAAAATAATGAAAAACTATTTATGTTAAATATGGATAATAAAACAAACTTTAATAAGATGAATTTATCACATTGTTCCTCTATCTTTGTTTTTATCAGAAGATCTTAGACCAATAAATATAACTCCATCATTCGAAAACATTTTAGAATAAGTTGTTTACTTACTATTGAAAATTATTTAAATGAAAACAATACCATAGAGAATTTTAATTAAAAAATTGGAGATGTAGGGTGTTTGTGATAATGAGCTGAACTTTTTCAAAAATTGTCTCAAATGTATTTAGAAAACGAAATACAAAAAATCATTTATTTTTCAAAGTTGTAAATAATTAACAAATGTTTAATAATTTAGACTAATATTTTAATTCTAATACAAGTCCTCTCTATTAATTGCAATTGTATTTTTTGATTAATTTATAATTTTGCATAAGTTTAGGAGAAACCTTGAAGTGATAATTTTGAAAACAATTATACAAACAAACATAAAGCAAAATTTATTGAGAAGAAATTTTGTAAACAGACGGACTTGCAAAAGTGTTTTGAACTTTTGTTTTTTTGTAATTAAATTCAAAAATTAATAAGTAAGTATTATTATTTAGCAAGTCTGCAGCTATAGAATTCATAATTTTTCAATGAAAGACTTCGTGAAAAAACGATTTTTTTTTTTAATTTACCTCATTTTCACCTTATTGTTCTTGAAAATGTCTTAAGAAATTCATGATTTATGTTTGCAGATCATGTTATTATATATTTTGAAACATAACTCGAGGGGAATGTAAATTAAATAGGAAAAATTAAAAATTTTAGCATATGTATCTCACTTTTATAAAAAAAGACGACATAATTTTATATAAAATAATTATATTAGTTTTTATTAGAAAAATTAGCATATTTATGTACGTATACTATAAGAAACTATAATTACGAATACATTAATTTATTATATATATAATACATAGTATGTTTTATACGTATATGTCATAAAATTCATTTAGAAATGATGGCATTTATTAAATCACTATACGCTTTAAATTAAATATTTACAACATAAACTTTTTTTTTATTTATTATCATTTTTTATATCTTAATTTAATTAATTATTATTAATGAATTTGGAAATAATATGGAAATATAATGTGGCTGATCTACATAAATTAATACACAAACAAATTACATAACGTGTATATTATATTTATAGGAATACATAAATTAAATTAAAATATTATAAGTGAAGCTGTTAAAACAAATGAATATTAGCGAAAATAAAATAAATGTGGAATAAAAATTATTTTTTGACATTGAATTTGATAAGCTTCCGTAGTAGCGATATTCCTCTTCTGGGAAATATTCTTTTATGTGGCCTGTTTTGTTCATCATCCAGTAGAATGCTTGCATATTACCTTGACGTTTTAATTCTTCACCAACATGTTCACGGATTTTTGCATTATAAATATTTAACCAACGCCGCTAAAAAGTAAATTTTTGGGAAATTTGTTTAATGAAAATTTTATTATAAAATATTTTTATTACTTCTTCAGGACTTAACATTCTTCTATCAATTAATTTAGCTTCATATGGAACTAAAGTTATTTGTTCGAAACTTAAAAATTGAACACCTGATGGATGTGATTTTCCGGTGTTAATTACTTCAAGTACATTTCCAAGTCTAACACCATATTCACTTTTTTTGTACATGCCCGGCTCTAAAATATTTTTAAAAATTTTAAATTTAATATTATGTAATAGTTTTAATTTTGGTATAATGGAGTAATTTTACAATATATATTACAATTACCATTTGAGAAAAAGTAACCCTCTTTAAAAAGAAATTTATCTTTTGCATCATAAGACACATCGATTGGAGCTGTTAAGAAAATAAAATTTTTAAATAAACGTAAACATTCCAATTAAAAGTAAAGTCGAATTTACATTCTTTAACTGCAGAATATGATCCAATACCATGTCCTGTTGCATGTGGATAATCATTCATTGATGACCAAACTGGACTTCTAGCTAAAGTATCAATTTCTCCTGGTCTTAAATTAGATGGAAATTTTAAATTTGCAATTCTTATAATACCAAGTAAAACACTGGTATAAGTTTTTTTTTGTTCCATAGTTGGGGTACCAAAATGGAAGGTTCGTGATACATCTGTTGTACCTTCTAAATATTGGCCACCTGATTCAATTATTAATAAACTATCATCTTTCACTTCAATATCAGTTGCATTGCTTTGAATATAATGTGGTATAGAACCATGTTGTCCATATGCTACAACAGTTTCTTGTGATAAGCCCATTGAAGATTTTTGTGCCAAGCGTGATGTTTCAATTTCTTGTTTAATTTTTAATTCCGTCCATTTTTCAACTGCAAACTGAAAACATAAAAAGGTGTAATTATAAAGACAATAGAATTTTTTTACATACACATGTACATAATTAAAAAATTATATGGTATGTTAAATTACCCTTTCTTCAAGCATGCTCATAGCCTCACACATAGCAGCACCATCTCTTATATGAGCAATTCTCATTTGTTCTCTTTCAATAGCATTTTTTTCAGCTTTCATAAATATTACTGGAGAAATTCTCTCAACAACTGAATCCCTAGGTATTGCAGTAAATAATGCTTCAGATGCTCCTAAAATAAAGGAAAAAAAATGAATTGTCGAACACTTGTCAATGTTTTAAGATAACCTTTATCAAATACACATGGTGCAGGCATTAACACTTTTCTCCAAACTTGGCTGTAAGTTCTTAAGTCACGCCATATCTGATTGTAATCTTTGATTCTAATAAAAATTTTGAAATTATAAGTGTAGTAAATAAATATTAAATATTTGAATTTATTAATTTAAATATATTGCTTACTTAACACATTGTGTGTTGTAACATCCTTCAGCTTCTTTCAAATGTAAAGAGATTCCAAGTGAAACTTTTGATCGATCTGTGTAAAAGAATATATCATATCTGGTGACAACAAGGTAAGCCTATAATAATGTACATATATTTGTTTTCAAATACGATATTAATTTGATATTTATGTAATTTTATACTTTAACAACTGGTGTGTATGGTATATCTCGTCCACGAATATTTAACAGATAAGCTATTTCGGTCAATGAATTTAATACAATTGCATCACAATCTAACACATCCAATTCTTTCCGTAATGTTTCAATTTTATTTATCCATTTCTCACCAGCATATTTTCTTTCATGTACTTTTACGGTAACATCAACAGCCGGTGGTCTTTTATCACCCCATACTATATCTACTAAATTTTTATTTACTTTAACTAAATTAATTAAAGCATCATTATCTAATTTTGTTTTCCATTCTGTCCATAAGGAATGTGGTACAATATGAGGATCAGCTCCAACTTTTGCATCCACTGGTAAATTAACCTTTAATATATTTAAGAATATGTTTTTTTTTTAAAATGAAATATATATCATTGTGAATTTATTGATAAAAACTAACTTTAAACCATTCTATAATTGAAACTGGCCCATTGAGATCAAATAATTCCCAGTCGCATGTTACTTCACTATTTGCTTGTACAAGATATTTATCTTCTGTCCATAATGCTGCTTTATGAACTGTTATAGCTAAAAAAGCTATTGGTCCAGTAAAACCTGTTAAATATTCAACTCTTCTATCTCGATCAGCAACACGTTCATTTAAATGTTCATCATATGATGGTAAAAGGTATCCTACAAGGAGCAATATTATATATTACGGTAATAAGAATATTGATATTTAGTAGAATATCGTTTTTAGTAAAAATTCTAAATTAAAATAAATACCTAAAACTCATATAATTATACTTTTGCATACCATCTATTTCAGGTCCTTCTACTGATGCTCTTATAAGCATATGTTCTCTTAACAAATGAAGTCGTTTTCTGTGTTCACTGATTGGTTGAAACTAAATGAAATATTTTTTTTTTGTAATTTTGCTTTTCTTTAATATAATTTTTAATCTTACTAACAAGTTGTCCTCTTCTATATGAACATGTTTCTCTATAAAATCCTTGCAAGTTCGCTTGAATCGTTACTAAAATAGTCGTAACTGAAATTAATAATAAAAAATTTTTTAACATTCTATATTAATCTTAAAATAAAATATTTTGGTGAAATTATTTGCAACTTTTTAAATTAATTAAGACGACCTATAAAAATCTATATTCAAAGATGAGTTTCTATGACAACAAAATAATTTTAAATATATATATATATATATATATATATATATAAAAATAATATATTTAAACATAAATTTAAAATAATATTGAATTCTTAAGTTGGGAAAATGTGTTGAAATTTTTATAATATGAAAAATTTCTGTTTTATTCTAGCTATCTTCAGTGTGTTTTACAAATCATATTTAAGGTATGGAGCATTACTACGAGAAATTTTTCGCCTAATTTTATAAATATCTATATACATTTTGTATATAAACTTGTAAATTGTAACTTGTAACTTGCAATACTGCAAATTTAATCATATCATTCTCGTTCTAGATATTGAATATACAAAAATATAGTTATATAATAAAAAATTCTCAGCATATATTTTAGGTATTACAGCAATATTTTATTACTGTAAGTGAATATGTTTATTGCAGAAGCAGTCATATTAATTAACATAGAAATGTTTTGTTTGGTATGTACACATGAACAATCTAACAAAGTCTGTTGAAAACATAGTCATAAAATCTAGCTTCATTTCTATATCACAAATCAGCTATTTATATCATAATACAGAATAAATATGTATTCAATATGGAGGCAGAAATGTTGCCAATTTTGTAATAATGCTTTTCGGCTACAAAAATTGAACCCAGTTTTTTTTTTCATTGCCATACTATTACATAATATTGAAAATTTTTACGGGATTTATTTAATAATATTTTCTTTAATAATAAATTTGATGAAGTGAGTCAAATGGAAATTTTAAAAAATTCAAGAAACTTTTATTTAGTATGACGCATTAACGGACTTAAGTTATGATAAATTAAAGCAATTACATACTTACATAAGAATATCGTAAATAGTAGTTTTCCACTATTTATACTTTTGTGTTCACTTAAATTTAATAAATTCATTTTTTAATTTTTTTTTTATTAATTTTATAAATTTTTGTTAAATTTATTTTTTTTTAAATAAAAATTTTGGTATAGGCACCTTTTTTTTATTTATACATTAAAATTTTACAACTAAAATAAAAAAAAAAGAATTAAATTTCGATTAGAAATTTTTATTTTTTTTAGAATAAATTCCTGTACTGATCAATAGAGTATCTTTATTTTATTAATAAATTCAATGCGTGCTAATTGTATAACCAAATATACTGTAACAAAATACGCGAGTGTGTAGAACTTTTAAAATGATATTTTAAAGTAAAATAAAAAAAAAATATATTTTTTTAGAAAAATAAAAGTTACTCTAAAAAGTATTGAATTCTAAATTTAGTCTTGAATCGAATTACAATAATCGACTATACAATTATTATTATATTAAATTTCAAGGGTAGTAATATTATGTAATCGGTATATGTTATAAGATTTTTGCAATATCACAAAAATTCTTATTGTAGTTGTGTATATTCTTATAATACGCACCGTTATTAAACAATAGAAAAATGTTCTTTTTATTTTTTCTTCTTTATTTTTTTAATTTTAATGTTCTTTTTTTTTGATTGTATAAATTTTTAATAGTCATATTATATAACATTATAGACATTTCCTTTTCCGTTTCTTTAATCAAATCATGTATACAAAGGTATATGGGTAAATATATATAATTATAATAAAATTGTTATATATAATTATAGTAAACAAACCATATTTGTAGATTTTAATATACAATTAAAATTTGCACATAAATAATTAAAATGTCCCTCTATATTTGATTTGAAAAGAATATCACTTTGGTTATGGTTTACATAACCATCTACTAAAGAGTAAATAGTATATATGTAGTAAATATGAATATATGTATATTGTATAAAGCGTAGGTGTATGATATACACACCTATTATTTCTTTTAAATTCATTCATTAATTTACAAATATGATTGTTGTATTTCTTTTAAGATTTTAAAATGAAAACAAAAAAAAAACAAAAACAAATTGTACATTCTTATCTGTTATGATTTTTAGTACATTTTGTGTTCTAACTTTTTGTTTAAACATAACTTGCATATACATACATATGTAAATATTATATAAATACTGTTATTGTTATGTATTCTTATAAAAAAAAAATTGAATTCAAAAATTACGATCTTTTGTATTTATTTAAAAAATAAAACAAGAAAATGTGTTATGTGGTCTTCACTTTCAAAATATTTTTACAAATTATATTTTGTGTAAACAAAAATAGAGCAAAGGGTTGTTCAATATGAATTTTTACAGCAACATATGTATACCTTATTTTGAATGTGATTTTAATACCATAAAATTTAAAAATCAATAATATGTAAATGGAATTGACGAAGTATCGAATTCTAAATCAAATGCCGCATATTATATACCGAACTAATATGTATACATTTAAAATCAAATTTAATTAGACAAGCCACGGCACGAAAATGCATATTTACGCTGTTTGTAAAGTTAACAAGTATGTTATAAGTTTTTCTCAAACTGTAAAATTTTTGAAGATCAGCTTTTATTTTCTATAAATTATAGTCGCCAACAATATTAAGAATAAATAAATTGCTATCAGAGATAGTGCATTATATACGAAATTTTTAGGAAGACTAATGAAATTTGATGCTTTCTAAGCTGTTATATTCACACAAATCAATATAAAAATTGTTGGATTCGGTTTCTTTTAATATTTTCAAACTATAAGTTTTGCTGTCAAATTAAAAGCTGAAATTAAATATGTGGCTTCTATACAAGACAAAATTTCAAAAAGAAATTTCAGAAACCTTATTTTGGCTACCCGTCAAGAAAGGCTACCCCTCAAAAAGAGTATTAATTTTAATTTTTTCTTAATTTTTTTTAATTATTTTTCTTAATTTTTTTTAGTACTCTGTAGTCTTGTTTAACACTTATTGCATAACCAGTTAAGGCAGATATATATTTGCACCTATATAATACAAACTTCATACTTTGTTGATGTATATACATATATATTTACATATTATGTAGCCTAAACATTTATACAACAAACAAATTATTTGTTTTTATAATGCGATAGAAATATAGTGCTAATGAAAATCAATTTGGACTAGATCAGTAATAATTTATGTATAGACAATCTTTACACTTAGTATTTACGTTTTAGTATTTAGCGATTATAATTACAATTAAAATTTATTCAGTTTTATAGTCTTATACAATTTACGGTATAAAAGAAAATATTCTTGATATATGATGATTCAAGTATGTATGTGTATATGTTTTCCAAAACCTTTGTGCCATATGATACATAAATACATAATTTCAGTTAATTCGAAAATCCAAATAAAGAAAACAATTAATTTATGCTTGAAACCATAATTAAATCTATATGAAGAAGTATAATAGGTAATAATTCATAGCATTTTTATTTTCTATTGAATCATAATTTTTTCATGATAATAAAAAAAATATTTGTAGACGCCTTTTTTGTTCTGACAACTTTTCCTTAATTAAATTATTATTTACAGCTTATTTTATGCAATTTTTTAATATGTGTGTAGAACATATAAATTAAGATGTGCAAACGTTCTTTCAATTTATAAATATAGTATAAAATAATTAATATTTAATTAAAATGTCAAATAAGTTTAAGATCAAAACGTTAAATAAATTTGTCATTCATGACGCTTTCTGATTTTTTTCGTTCTACATATGTTCTTTTCTTCACTCTATTGGAGTGTTCATAAAATTTTTTGTTGTTATTTTTCATTTCTGAAAGAAATTCATTCATTCATTTTGAATTAATAATTTGATATTAATTTGTTACGTAATTTAAATAATGTCTTGCAGTACTTCGGGTATGTTTATTTAAAAAACCTTTAGTTCAAATCATCCCACAAAATTTATTAAATTTAATATTTGGTGTAAAGTTTGCTTATGTAAAAACCTCCAATCAGATCTTCATTCAACGATTATTTGTACACTTTATGATTTTAGTCAGGGTGCTATTATGTTATTTTTGAGACATTGTGACTTCTGAAACAGAACCATTTTTAAATTTTTCAACACTACAGTTTTGTTGCCAAGTAAAAATTTACTCATTCAGTTTATTTGAAACACATACATAAACGTTATAGTGTCAAAATTGTCAAAATTGAATAGTATTAATTTTTAAATGTGAATTATGGAATGTAATGCTCCCATTATTTTTTGATTCACATACTAGTAGCAGACGCGGCAAGTGCGAGATAATCTATTGCAATAACGGCACAAATTTTGCACACTAATATGAAAGAGTACTGTGCAAGTAAGTATGATATAAAAAGAACGGCATGTATTATAAATTTTTTACTGTCAGAAAGTGTAAAAACCAAAATATTTTTGTGTTAATGCAAGGTATGTATTTTATGTAATTCATTGCATATATTCTCACAATCATACTTAATTCATATTAAATACTTACATAAAAATACGTACCCATATGTAGGTACATACATCAATTCTTACATTGATTACAAAATAAATGTTAACTTTTAAGCTCACATTTGATTTATTCAATTATTTCAAAAAATCAACCATTGAGATTAATCGGATGTCATTAAAAGATATCGTGATATTACATCTTATGAACTACTTATGAGAATAAATTAATATGCTAATTGGCATTTGTGTACAATAAAATTCAATGAATGCATTTTTGTTGTTTTAATACAGAAGTCATTCAGAACAAAGAGAATTTTAAATTATTTTTATATATACGTAGTTATTGTAAAATTTATAGTTTAATTGATTTATATAATATGTGTATATATTATGTATGTATATAATTTGATTTAACTTATATACATTTGTTTGTGTATTTATATATTCATAAATAAATCAATCTGTAATGAAAAAAAGCCAGTACAATACGAGTTTTAAGGCGTCAAAACTTGTGCTCAATAATTCCAATACTTAATATAATTGTATTTGAAAGAGCTTCCGTGGCGTTTACAGAATATTTGTACCTGTTAATGTTAACAAGCTTTTTCTTTTAACGTTAAATTAAATATTAAATATACTATTTTATTATACTTGTATAATACTTAATAGAAATTCTATATTACATATATATATGTATACGAGATGTACTTAATTCTAAAATCTAAAATTAATCATTAGCATACCGCTTATTTAATAAGTTTAGCTTACAGACTTATAAGTCATGATATAACAATTAATTAAAAAATATTTTATTGATATTGAATTTTTATATATAATTAAATAAAGTTCTTTATATTTACATACAAACAATATATTGATTGAAAATCAGTTTGAATCGAAATAAGAATTTCTATGAATAATAAAATTCATAAATTCTTATATGATGTGACGCGAATCTACTACTTTCAGTTTGCTTAATGTTTGTAATTAATTCAATTACTTGTAAAAAAATAATTAAGGAGTGATAATTTGTCGGTATTTTCTTTGATAAAATATAAAAACAATGTTACCATATATATATAGTTCAAGTATAGTTTTGCAATAACAATTTGTTTTTGGAAAGATTATTTTTAATTTAATAAAAAAAATATCATATTGATTTTTATATTCCAATAAGAGGAAAAGAATGTAATTAAATTATAACTTGATTTTGTATAAATTTTTGTTCTGAAAGAAAATTAAATCTAACTTTAAATCTGCAATTGCGATACAAAATGTTATGTCAATCAAATTCAACAATTAATTAAATATAACAGTATTTAGCATAAGTAATTGCTAAGTATGAGTATAATACTTAGTTGCATAAGTAAGGAAATAATTAAAAAAAATTATTCCAATTTCAAAATAAAGTAATCTCACAACCGTACACATAAGTATAGAGAAAATATTAAAAGTAGACCTAATATACTTTAAGTGTGATGTTTTGTTCAAGCCTGCATCTGTAAAACCACCAGTATACGAGTAATTCGGAACTTCTTCAAAATTTTAAAAATTGAAATATAATTAAATATAACTTGTCAAAATTGTCACTTTTTAAGTACGCGTATTACATAATACTTCACAGAGTTACCAATATGATACAGTTACATGTATGCGGAGCAT